TAAATTAAGCTACATTTGTATTCAAATAATTATACACTAGCTATATAAAGTTTCAATATTTTTTTTATTTTTTCATAGTGTCATCTATATTCTTTATATTTATAAAAATGAATTCCTTTTTCCCTTGCTAACGGAATCAAGCGTGAATGGGTGCACCGATTACACTAATTCTTTTTTGTTTATTTTTTATTATTAGGAGAAGGTTCTTATCTAAGAAAAAAAAACTAGAATATATCACTTTTTTATTAAAATAATGTGACACTCGCAGCAATATTCACGTAGTTAGAATAAACCATTATAATAATATACACTAATAATATTCTAATTAGAATTCAGTCATCACTGTTAAGAAGATAGAACATTGTCTGTCGGGTCAGCTATAATTAATAAAGAAATTAACTTCATTTAGATAAAAAGGTAACAGATATTTCTTGATTATAGGGCGGTACGAAGTTCGCCAGGTCTGCTAGTATATAATAAAAATTAATATACTGAAACAACAATACATATAACGATAAAAACAAAAGTCACCTATATATTACTAAATAAATTTCCTATATAAAAAAATCTCGATCGTATGCAAATTTAATAAGATAGCTTAGTGACAACCTTGTTCTTTTTAATACAAGCATACTCCAAAACCGAGTTATGACAACAACACTATCATTTATTGAAGTGAAATTTCTTATGCGACTTCCAACGAGGTTGCGTTAAACGTTTAACGCTGAGGAAGAGAGAAAGAGACAAATGTAGAAAGTACGAAAGAGAAAGAAAGTGTGTCGGTAGATTCCAAGCACACACGCATGGGGTTCTTGCTATACAGCGAAGTAAACAGTGTTAGAGTCGTGAAATTAGATGAAATATGTATTTGTTGTTCTATATAAAATAAATAAATATTCAATGAAAATTTTGTTGATTTGATACATGTATAATTTAATAGGGCAGTATTTTATTTTTAAATTGGTTTGGTATGAATTGTTTACACTTACGAAGTAATACATTTGAATGAAATGTCAAATGAAAAAAACAAATAATAATTATATTTTTTCAAGAAAACATTTGACAAAAGGAAAAAATGCGGACCATTACTTCTTTTTCTAAAAATATTATGAAAGAGTTATAAATGTTTGATTTTCCACGGTACGTTTTTAATATTCTATTAATATGAAAACCATTACACTGTCGTCTGTCACACAAAATAACTATAAAATAATAAAGAAACACACACAAAGTTTATAGGAGAAAGGAAGCAAAGATTATTTTTCCTGGAATTCCAATTACTATCAGTTTAATCTACTGTAAACCGCATTAAAGAACTTCAATGTAAAGATTTATGAAGTAAGAATAATAAGAAGTATTGCATGATTAGGGAGGTATATCAGATTTATTAATATAAAGTAATGGAGCATTCGTTATAGTCTATCAAATACGTAATTTTTATTTGTTTCCAAGATATATAAGTGTCTAAGTATATATTGTTGTTCCATTAGACTAATCAGAAATATGTACATTCAAATCAAAAGTCAAAAGTTCTGAATCAAGAAGTACCGAGCTCAATAACACTTTTGATATTTTGTTTCAAAAAAAATTCTGAGACAAAGTACAAAAAACTGAAAGCATAATGTGACTGACAAATGAAAGTGAATTGAATTAAAATAACCTTATTCAAGCTTACCTTAAATAATTTTAATAATAAGAAAAAATACAGTGGTATTAATGTATTTTGTTATTTGATTTCAGATAGATATACTATTTTGTAAAATTCAGATGAATTATTTTCTACTTTGATAATAACTTTTACATAAATATTAAAACTGTGTTTCATCCATAAATTGAATCGATTGAATTGAAAATTTCTCTAAATCCTCTAATTGTTCTCAATCTTCAACTTCGCCTCAATAACTTTGATAATAATTTTAAATTTCTAACCTCCCGCTGTTATTACTAAATATTTCAAATTGTCATATTATTGAGTCTCGAACTTATTATTTCTGCCGCTCGGAATCGGAGTTAACTTTGTCATCAAAATGAATATCAAGTTTTAATTTATTCCTTTTGAAAAGCAATAGCCGTTCGCCGTATTTAATACAAAGATCTTGATCGAATTATGTAAAAGTCAGAAATTATAGATAAATGTACAAAAATACACTCTCATATTGATAGTTATTTGAAGCTTTTTATGGGTTAAAACCTTTTAGAACGAGTAAATGATCTTTGAAGATACAGATCGACCAGCATCAGAAAGTTAGGGGATAGAGATCATTATAAGCGAATTGACGCCTGGCATGGCGGCAAACCTCTCCTATATCATATTTTACCTGTTCTATAGAAGACAGACATAAGTCCCTGCACTATTTTCCGAGACCACAAAATTCGGGGCCTGACCGAAATTCAGAATCAAAAAACAATACTTTCTGATCAAAAAAATGGTAAGCCTCTACATACTTATAACTTTTTTTTTATATATGTACATCAATAATTTAGCCGTATCAAGCATAGATTTAATATGAAACTATGTCTTCCGTACCTTATTCATCTACAAGTGTATTATATTTAAAAGATTAAGGAAATATTGGAAACCTTCAAAGCCTATGTATCAAATTTATATGGAGCCTACGTAAATTTCACCACATATTTTTCATCTGATTTTCTGTATAGACTTGGGTGATTTTCTTAAGTATTATCCTTATTTATATTCTTTTCAATCTTTATTCTTCCTATCTTTGACACCGTTACTCCTATCTTGGCTGCAACTGTAACTTTCTTAAGACTTAAAAAATCTTCTACATATTATTTATTTCACCAAAAGGTCGTTTCAACCTCCTACATGAAATTCGAAACTATAATTCTTAGGCTACTTGCTATTCATCCTGTAAGTAATATTACTTGTATATTCTTCTTCTACCTGGCAATTTCCCGGCTATAGCCAGGGTCTGCCTTAACATGTTATGAATAGTTTTGGCTAATTGTTTTACGACCGGCCGCCTGCCTAACATCAACCTTCTCTTGGGAATGCATTAATCAGTGATGTCTAAATATTCTTAGAAAATACATATGACTCGGAAAATCACATTGGTACTTGCCCGGGTCAGGATCGAACCCGCGCCCTCATGCATGAGTGGCGGGCCTTTTAACCACTAGACCACCAGTGACTTGTATATTGTGCTCTATCATTGTAGTGTATCACCTCTTTTAATTTAGTTACTGGCCGGTAAGCCAGTGAGATTCTTAAGATTCTGTCAACATTATGGCATTAATAAAATAAGGGAGATATAGACAACAATGTATTTAATTTCTTTATGTATATTTAATAATCATATTTATGGAAACATGAAAATATATATTAAAATATTATGTTTTGATTACAGTTTTTATTTCTTTATTATCATATTGATGTATTAACATAAATATCTCTATTTTTCATTACCCTTTCTTATTTGAATGTTTCCCTCTCACATAAGATTATGTGTAAGAAATTGCTTATAGCAAGAAGAGTTCGTTTGGACGAAACAATAAAACAAAAACACGATGTAAATTCAATGAACAAGATTCTTTGTATGTATAACATTTGGATTGTGATCAGGCAACGCTCGGTTTAATTCCTCAATTCCTTTTTGACCACATGACAACCAGTCAACATGTTCACGAATTCTCTTTCGAGATGATTGTATTGGACGTGTTCATGATAAATAAAGTTTGACTAAATAGGATCATCGGTCATTCGATAAGTTGACCATAAAACAGAATAAAAAAATTAAACTTAAATGAAAGTAAACGTTTGAAGTTTAAAAAAACTAAGCTGACTTTTTTAAACTTCAATGTTCATCTTTATATCAATATGTTAAGAATACAAATATACATGATATCTTTTACTGAAGCAAACACTGACATGGGGCTGACAAGATAAATGGCATTTTGTGAAAAAATGTTATAGTTACGAAAGTAATTTTTATTGGAGTTATATTGTAAGAATTTATAATATTTCTGATCTGCCTATAAACAAATAACTTTCCTATATGAATAATGTATACGCCTGGAGACTTTATTTTATTCAAGCTTCTGCTATTAACAACACCTACCTGTTTTACTACAACCATATATATTACGACACAGCAATGTAATCAAATACATTTTAAACCAAAGTGTTTTTTCTGTAATTCCTTGATAGTCATTATGTCAAATAAATTATATTAATATACATCAAAAAAATGGAGCTTACAACTCTTGATACTTCCAAAAGAAGACAGACATTCGAAAAAAGTTCCAAAATTTATTTATAAGAAAAAATAATAGTTTACAATACAGGCATTCCTAAAACTCACTTTCAAAAACATTGTGAAGGTGCAAATAAATGGCTGCTACTAATTAGCTGAAAACAAAGCCATTGTTTCATTACTCTTTGTGCATAATTGTTCAAATATGTTTCCTGTGTGCTCCTACAAGCTACCGGATAAAGTATTTTTAGTTTAAAGCACGTACTTAATAAAGATAATAGCTACATAAATAATGGCCACATTTACACGTTGTTATATGGTTTAGATAAACTTGATACGTGATATGAGGGTGAAAATAAATTTAAAAGATTTATTAATCTTATAGTTTCTTATAAATAAACTTGATAATAGTACGAAATAATAAGGTATTCATAATAAATTATAAATATATAAAGGACGGAATATTAAATAAGTGTGTTTCTCTTTAAAGTTTTGCATAATAACGTTTAACAAAACTCTATTAACAAAAAAGCATCCCGGGTTTTAGTCAGAAGTAATAAAGCAGTTTTGATAAATTTATGTTTGTACTGCTTCTGCTTCATTTAAGTTACTGTCCAGTATTTATTGATGCAGCTGATAGTAAAGTCCATATTTTCCTCGTGTCTTAGTTCTCTTATTAATTTTATCAATATTACTATTATATTATTTATTTTCAAATTTGGTTAGGTAGAGAGAGGAGCTTGGACAGTGGAGGTGAGCGTATAACGCGCGTTAGATAGAGGCCCCTTAGGCCTCGGCCTCGAATTTTGCGGGCAGCGGAGCGGCAGCGGGAGCGGCAGCGGGAGCGGCAGCGGGAGCGGCAGCGGGAGCGGCAGCGGGAGATGCAGCGGGAGCGGCAGCGGGAGCGGCAGCGGGAGCGGCAGCGGGAGCGGCAGCGGGAGCGGCAGCGGGAGCGGCAGCGGGAGCGGCAGCGGGAGCGGCAGCGGGAGCGGCAGCGGGAGCGGCAGCGGGAGCGGCAGCGGGAGCGGCAGCGGGAGCGGCAGCGGGAGCGGGAGCGGGAGCGGCAGCGGGAGCGGGAACGGGAGCGGCAGCGGGAGCGGGAGCGGCAGCGGCAGCGGGAGCGGCAGCGGCAGCGGCAGCGGGAGCGGCAGCGGGAGCGGCGGGAGCGCGGGAGCGGCAGCGGGAGCGGCAGCGGGAGCGGCAGCGGGAGCGGCAGCGGGAGCGGCAGCGGGAGCGGCAGCGGGAGCGGCAGCGGGAGCGGGAGCAGCGGGAGCGGCAGCGGGAGCGGCAGCGGGAGCGGCAGCGGGAGCGGCAGCGGGAGCGGCAGGATCTTAGGCCTGGGCCTCGAATTTTGCGGGCAGCGGAGCGGCAGCGGGAGCGGCAGGATCTTACGCGTATAATCAAATGGACCGACCCTCGAATACAGCGGTGCCCGCTGCCCGCTAGTTTGGAGAATAGTATGCGTTTCCGTGCCGCCGCCGCTGCCGCTCCGCTGCCCGCAAAATTCGAGGCCGAGGCCTTACGCGTATAATCAAATGGACCGACCCTCGAATACAGCGGTGCCCGCTGCCCGCTATTTTGGAGAAATGTATGCGTTTCCGTGCCATCGCCGCCGCCGCTCTGCTGCCCGCAAAATTCGAGGCCGAGGCCTTAAACCTACACCCGAGTCGCAAGTCCCCGGCACTGTTGACCCGGCACCCGTACGGTGAATCCCTTGAATGCTAAGAGGTTTCGTCTGTCTGTATAATTTAATAATCTTAATTTAAAAAAAAAACTATGAGCGAATATACTAAAACACATATGCCACACTTTAGACAACATTTTTATCTTTTCTTTGGAGTTTTAGGCTACTATGTCTAAAAGTTCATCCACACATCAAAAAAATAGGACGAGGCTGTTTGCTAAATAATATCTTCTGAGAGTGATTTTCTTTTTCCACATTTGCTTTGCATTTCTCCAAATAAAGGTTCCCAATGAAACCTTAACGCTGTCCGTAACCACGTACGTAGATCTTTAGTTTATATATCGCCTACTAGACTATGTTTTCAAATGTTAAACTCATGAGTTTACCACTCAAAACACTAAAAGGATCACTAAATATTGTGTTTTGTAAAACTACCTATCTCTTTTGTCCATATTAAGATATCCAAAAGTTCCGAAATAATCAATTATTTTTTTTAATTATTAATAATTAATATGTGGTTATCATCAATATTAATTTACAGAAATACTATGTCAAGATGCCTTATATTTTATTTTAATGTGTATGTATAATATATGTACCAAACAAATTATATTCAATGTTTATTTGTATATACCATGGCTATCAAAGTTAATATCTCCATTGAATGGCGCGTGGCGGCCTACATCAAGATTAAACAAGGCAATCAGTCGCATACTGTCACTGTTACGAATGGAATTTAATAATAGAGGAATTCGATTAAATATAATTCATAACATACCGACGTTCTGATATTGTACATTTAAAATACTTATAACAAACTGTTTTAGTAACATTTACTGTATAATATTGGAAATGGTGGTGCATTAAGCATGGTTGCTTAAGTGCTTAATATATGTATGTATGTATGAATTCGTTAATCTAAATTAAGCTACATTTGTATTCAAATAATTATACATTAGCTATATAAAATTTAAATATTTTTTTTAATTTTGTCATAGTGTCATCTATATTCTTTATATTTATAAAAATGAATCCATTTTTCCCTTGCTAACGGCATCAAGCGTGAGTAGGTGCACCGATTACGCTAATTCTTTTTTGTTGTATTTTTTATTATTAGGAGAAGGTTCTTATGTAAGAAAAAAAAACAGAATATTTCACTTTTTTATTAAAATAATGTGACACTCGCAGCAATATTCATGTAGTTAGAATAAACCATTATAATAATAAACACTAATAATATTCTAATTTGAATTCAGTCATCACTATTAAGAAGATAGAACATTGTCTGCCGGGTCAGCTATAATTAATAAAGAAATTAACTTAATTCAGATAAAAACGTAACAGATATATCTTGATTAGAGGGCGGTACGAAGTTCGCCAGGTCTGCTAGTATATAATAAAAATTAATATACTGAAACAACAATACATATAACGATAAAAACAAAAGTCACCTATATATTACTAAATATATTTCCTATATAAAAAAGTCTCGATCGTATGCAAATTTAATAAGATAGCTTAGTGACAACCTTGTTCTTTTTAATACAAGCATACTCCAAAACCGAGTTATGACAACAACACTATCATTTATTGAAGTGAAATTTCTTATGCGACTTCCAACGAGGTTGCGTTAAACGTTTAACGCTGAGGAAGAGAGAAAGAGACAAATGTAGAAAGTACGAAAGAGAAAGAAAGTGTGTCGGTAGATTCCAAGCACACACGCATGGGGTTCTTGCTATACAGCGAAGTAAACAGTTTTGAAAGAAAATTTTGTTGATTTGATACATGTATAATTTAATAGAGCAGTATTTTATTTTTAAATTGGTTTGGTATGAATTGTTTACACTTACGAAGTAATACATTTGAATGAAATGTCAAATGAAAAAAACAAATAATAATTATATTTTTTCAAGAAAACATTTGACAAAAGGAAAAAATGCGGACCATTACTTCTTTTTCTAAAAATATTATGAAAGAGTTATAAATTTGGGTCCATAATCAATGAATCCAAGAATTTTATTCAAAATACTACATTTTAGAGACGACATGAGACGAAACCTCTTAGCATCAATGTATTCACCGCGCGGGTGCCGGGTCCATCGCGTTGTAGAGGGACGAGCTTCAACAATGCCTGAGACTTGCGACCCAGGTGTAGGTTTAAGGGACCCCTATCTAACGCGCGCTAAACGCTCACCTCCACAGGCCATGTGGACACCAAATTTGAAACGAACTCACTAGTGTTGACTTCGAAGTACGTTCCAAGAATGAATTTATGTTAGTTATGGACAGGTTCGAGTGTTTTAGTAACTTTTACCCTTTATCTATGTTTATCTATCTATCTATCTATCTATCTATCTATCTATCTATCTATCTCTATCAACACGAGCCGGATTCGAACCAGTATCCTCTGTAATACTTCGTTCCAATTTTCGATTATGTAGACACGATAGTTTAATTGCTGAAAGATTTCTTCATTATATATTTCCTGTTTTAAATACTAAGCATTGCTTTAATGCTAAAACCATAATTGCACGAAAACAATAAATAAAAGAAACGTATAAAAACGATAATGTTAATTGAAATTTCTTTTTTTACATTATACATGTTTTATTGTGTGCAATTTAATATAACGAGATGATTCAAATGTTACAGAAAAAACGACTCCACTTGGGAAGTTCAAAGCGAAGGAAATAGAATCATTATTTAAATGCAAATTCATAAAGAAAAATTCAATGTTGGCTCATATTATATTTATGTTATTCTTTATGGACCCTTATAATGTTCTGACAGGTGATTTAATTAAAATTAAATATATATATTCACAGTCGAATTATTTTAAATAATAATTCGACTGTGAGTGGATAAGCCTATAACATTAGCCGTATGGTTATATATATATATACAGGGTGACTGGTGAATTACTATCGATATTTGAGGACGTGATATTTGACGATCATATATGACAAAATAAAAATTAATATAACATAAATATTAATAAACTTCTAAGTAAAGTTAACCAAAAGTTATGTAATTAATTACGCATCGTATGAACACCCTACAGATTAGGTATACACTCACACACACACTCGCACGCGGCGGCGTGTTGTTGTATCAGCACGCCGCCGCACGCGTCCACACTTGGAACACTTGGAACGTGTACACACTTTATTTATTTATACGGAAATTTGGTCAAAAATTAAGTACCTATTTCTTTTACATAATTCGAATGAGAATCATGTACCGAGTATGCTCCTTAAATATTGATAGTAATTCACCAGTCACCCTGTATATATATATATATATATATATATATATATAATTATCTGAACCAACATTCTTGAAGATACCTGAAGATGAAGACTTTCATATAATGTTTGTTTGCTTCCGCGACGACACATTTATGTTTACAATGGTCCAAAAAAACAGATGCACAATCATCCACAATGTCCAACAAATACTGATTACGATTGTTAACAATACCTATATTATTTTAAAATTACGACGATGTTACCTTTAATACTTGAATTAATTGATTTGTATTTCAAATATCTACTGACCTTATTGATGGGATTTTCAAATAACAAGTGATTATTTATATATCTTTGTTGTTTTAGATGCTGGTAATAAAATAAGTAGTCTCCTATACTAAAATATATTAATAATTAAATAAACGCTTTTACTCTATTTCACAAACTCCTTCGTGTTTTTTCATGAAACAAATAAAAACAATGATATTGACAAAATATTCCACGATCCCAGTGTGAATGAAGCCATAGCATTGAAAAAATAATGAAAAGTATTAAATGTATGTCCTGAGGAACCTTGAAAGCATAGAAAGAGGCTGGGAATATAAACGAAGAAGATATTATGTCAGGACAATGTACTTTACAATATTTGCACGTTCATTTAAAAGAATCAGGATTTCACAACGACTTTATTACATAAGGCATTTTAGAATAATAGTATTATTTCTATAATAGTATAGGTTGGAAGTGTATTATATAATAGAGAAGGGAAAAACCCTTTCACAAGAACATTATGTTAGAAGTCCGCTATCAGTAATGAAATAAGAGAATCAAACCTTCAGTTACATTTAAATATAAGATAAAAGTCATGAAAACATACGAAACCGTATAAAATTGTAATAATATTAACAAGAAGGCAATAAAGAGGACGATGGTAGGTTCTATTTATTGATAAGGTGTACATAAATGTGAACAGCGGAAAACCAAGACATTTTCATTATCGCACCGAGAAAATTGGCCGAAGCGATACCATCAGTCCTTTCGTGAAGACTTTTATTTTCGACGTTCTCGCTATTTTTAAACAGTTGTTTTTTCCGTTTTGGGAACACCAACAAAACGTACTACGACCAAAAAATACAATTATAGCTTTAGAAATAATATTACAAGGGTTTATTTATGTTAAAAAAATATCTGTCTTTCACTAAATTACTGAAATGTTCGTAGTAAATTTGATTTATAATATTATCAATTAACAAATTTGATTTATAATATTATCAATTACCTTGCCCACCACTTAATTTTTAAGTGATATGAAGCAATTTAACAGACATAAATCTCTTCCAACAACTTAATTTGAAATCATTTCAACCTTTTCTTTTTACCAACAACATTATTTTTACATAATGTACATCTTACATCACATCTTGACATCTTACAACTTTTAAGGCTTAACTAATTATTTATTCACTAGTGTCCAACAACAGCCGTATAACCGTATTTTAGTTTGCAGTAGTTTAAACTTTTTTTTCTGTAAAATGCTATAAAATGTTGATACACGTATCACCCCTACAACATTAAATAATTAATTCCTCTTACTGTACTCTAATTTTCAACTTTAATATAAACACGTAAGAGTCTTAAATAAAACATCATTTCACGTAACATGTGCTTGCTGCTTTGAATATATCGTTACGAATTGGAATTTAAATAAGCGTTCCATTTCCCTCGCTTTCAACTTAGAGAGCGAAGTAATTTTTTTTCTGACGTTACATTTTTATCCTCTCGTTATATTTAATTGGCATATTTCGTAAAACGAAAATAATACATGAAATAAAAATATAATTTCTAAAGTTTTATTTACTGTGCTTCATTAAATTTTTCCTTTTTTTACCAAATATCTTATTATTATTATTACTATAACTTTACAAAAACGAGGCCCCGTGAAGTTTCAACATAGTTATTTTAAAAATTAATTTGTCATTACGTATATCAATCAATTGTTCGTATCCCCAGGAGTTGTTTATATTCACTAAAATTGGGATTACAAACTAGAATACCAAATAATTGAAATGTATCTATATTTGAATTTTGATTGTATGAATTACGGATAAGATCTTTGACAACAACCAGTACAAAACTTGAGAAGAGTCTATTAATTTGGCTTCAGATTTTATATGTAGCAAAAACTTTGCATTTGATGGAAAACAATGAAGAATACTCGCACAACAACACGATTTAGAATTTTTTAGTTCTTAACTATAGATAGAAACTGTAGAAATAAACTCTTAAACCTCGTCTTCAATTTTCTAATGCATAATTTTTCTAAGACAAATTTTACCTCTTAAATAAGGTAAAGGTAATATTTTTTTCAGACTATTAATCGATGATCACGAAATTTATCTACTTCTGATAACTCCTACTTAACGTAGAATAATGTAGTAATTCCTTACAATACAGGGTGACTGGTGAATTACTATCGATACTTGAGGACGTGATATTTGACGATCATATATGACAAAATAAAAATTAATATAACATAAATATTAATAAACTTCTAAGTAAAGTTAACCAAAAGTTATGTAATTAATTACGCATCGTGTGAAAACCCTACAGATTAGGTACACACACACTCACACACACGCGTGCGGCGGCGTGCTGATACAACACCACGCACGCCGCACGCGTCCACACTTGGAACACTTGGAACGTGTCTACACTTTATTTATTTGTACGGAAATTTGGTCAAAAATTAAGTACCTATTTTTTTTACATAATTCGAATGAGAATCATGTACCGAGTATTCTCCTTAAATATTGATAGTAATTCACCAGTCACCCTGTATAGCTCTTGGTCCTTTTTCATTTCTAGTTTTAGAAATAATTACTCAGAAGATATGGACCTAAAGCTTTGCAAATTAGTACTTGTATTTTTAAGCCTTTAGAAACTCTTTATATGAATGAATAGCGAAGATTGACAAGCTGTCATGTGTAGAATAATATTGAGGATAATTGATAAGAAGAATTAAGATTGCTGTACGGTAATTATTGTAATACTTTAGGCCCTAAGGAAACAAAAGTTCTCCTCAAACATGGTTTGTGTCAATTCTCCTTTAATCTTTCTCTAAACTGTGAACGTAGGCATTATTAATTAACCAAAATAATGTACAAATTAATATTTTGTATCTAAATTATAATAACGATTTTCACAGGCCCTGGAATTAAATTGGTGGGAGTATCTTTTAATAGCACTGAGTGCATTCATCGGCTGTTTATTTTTAAATTATTTTGTGAAAGTAATTAACGGTAATTGTGTGTATTTCTGTTTAATTTCATTTTAATTATTAAGTATGAATTAAAAATAATTATAATTATAATTTTAAGCCTAAAGCAGATCTAAAATAGAATAAAGCTTTTATTTTGGATAAATATAAAAAAATTGTTTTAAAAGTAGTTCGTACATGTAAATGAAGTTAAAGCTAATTTTGTTAGACTCCATACTTTAATAATTCTATTATCAATATCTGTTACAGAAACTCGAATCGAAGAAAGATTGATCAGACTACAGCAGAAACATTCAACAAATCGAGCAACACAAGTACAGGAACCGTTTCCATTGGAACAAATATTATTAGAAGACAAACCGTCTATTAACTTGACTGAATCAAGGTCTATTGAGTTCATTAAAGAAGAACAACATAAAACTAACTTGGATATTACTTCCAGACGACTAATGGAAACACCTATTCAAAAATCTAATTTAAAATATTTAGACACTACTAGTCGTAACAATATAAAGATTAATGGTTTCGATAAAATAAGCGATATTTCACAAGAAATAAATAATATTAACTCTTCCAGAAACGAACTTCTAGATAACCAGAACGACGACGATGTCAGGAAGATGATGACTGATCTTCTTGAAGATATTTTAAAAAATCTGAAGTAATAAGTCCATATAGATTTTATATTACACTTTATTCTAAACATGACTTATAAGCTTAAAGGCTATTATAAGAATGTAATTATACTATTAACTAATAAAAATACTTTAGAAAATGAAATTCGGCTCGTTTATTCAATTAGTATGTTAAAATCTAAATGTATTTTATCATCTAGTAACACCATCAGTTGTATAACTTGCATGGCGAAAATCTAAGCAGTTAAGGAGATATATGAGTTTTCGTTTTTATTAAAGATACCATAATACACACGCCAATGACTATTATTCGGCGGCTTAATACTAAGTTACTTATCAAATATCTATTTGATGTCTTTTCCAAAAATAAATTATATTTGATTCCTTTACGGCGTTTACAAGGTACATCAATGAACTCCTTCAGCAATATTGCTTTTAAATTATTCTCTCCACTCCTCTCCTATTTATAAAGCAGTGTTAGAAAAATATAGACATACTTGAGCCTAAATATAATACACAGAAAAAAAACATAATACTGTTACTTTGAGCCTTTCTCTTTTTAATAGGCTAGGCTAAATTTAATGTTTTAGTCCTTTTAGACGTTTAGACGTTTTAAATTAATAATCTACCAAACCACCGTCAACTGTCAAATGCCACTGTCAATGTCCAAATTACACTTTACAGTGCCTTCCGTGCGGCGGCTTTATTTTGTTTATAATTTGTACATGTACAGCACAAAAAGAAGAAACATAGTTATATTAATTATAATAACTACTATTATGAAATATTATTAGTTAAAAACGATAAAGAATGACGTCCATTATTAAATTCCACTGCCTCTCAGGGGCCGGAGACGAATCTCCTCCTTGCTACGTGTTGCAAGTGGATGAATTTAAATTTCTCTTGGACTGTGGATGGGATGAGAAATTTGATATGGATTTTATAAAAGAACTTAAAAGGTACATTTAAGATATAGCTATTAGCGTACTATATTGCCCACAAAAAGCACAATTTTTATGATTTAGTTTTGTGATTTAAATTTTATGTAAATAATAAGGTTTTAATATAGTTTTTTTTTTTATTTCAGACATGTCAACTCAATAGATGCAGTCTTACTATCACACTCCGATCCCCTTCATCTTGGAGCATTACCTTATGCTGTCGGACAACTCGGTTTAAACTGTCCCATATACGCCACCCTCCCAATATACAAGATGGGCCAAATGTTCATGTATGATCTCTACCAATCGCATAAGAATGTGTCCGAGTTTGATCTATTCACATTAGATGATGTGGATACAGCATTTGATAGAATCACGCAACTCAAATACAATCAGAGTGTTGATATGAAAGGTAAGTGTAGTATTTCATAAATATATTAACTTTGTCATGTATGTATTGTGCTAAGGAGCAAACTGAATGACAGTAACTAATATATTAAAGTAATCTACCTACATTACAATGACATCATATTATTTTAACTATACCAAGCAAGCATAACTAACACATAACAGTAAGAATAGAAGCTCAAGTATTAAATAGGAAATTAAACATATTATATATATAAGGATTGTAGAGACAGCCGTTTATTGAGAAGTGGAGACTAAAATCTGCATCACAAATATTGTCAATGGTATATGTAAGGCTGATTCTATTGTGTTAAAACTTAATTAATTTCAATTAATATTTATTACTTAACTAATTATTTTAATATCATATACAAAAAAAATCTAAAAAATACATTAAATATATTTCTATTAATATATTACTTTTTTTATTTAATGTATTTTTATATTACTATTTGCATTTATTATATTCTTTGTGTATATATATACTTTATTCATTACTTATACCAACTCCGCTACAACTTTATCTAAATACTTTGCTATCATCAATATTAAGACATTATTTGGTAACGCTAATGCTAAACCACCACCCTTTCACAAACGATTGACATGAAGTAGTCTTTAATGGCTGTATTTCTTCCGAAAAGTGAAAAAACCGGTTGCCCTTTCTCTTTTCCCCCAATTACCTCTCTCTCTCGCACAATCAAAGTCAGCAACGCAACCACAACATCGCTACCTTCCATCAAGTAGGCTGCCTGCTTATTTGCTGTCTTTGATATAAGAATATAATAATTCTCTATTCACAGGTAAAGGTTTAGGCCTTCGTATAACTCCACTGCCAGCCGGGCATCTCCTGGGCGGTACCGTATGGCGTATAGCAGCCCCAGGGGAAGAAGATATTGTATACGCACCCGACTTCAACCATAAAAAGGAGCGGCATCTGAATGGATGTGAGATTGAGAAGATTATGAGGCCTTCATTACTGCTGCTCGGGGCTATGAATGCTGATTACGTGCAGCAGAGACGGCGGCTGAGAGACGAAAAACTTATGAGTGAGTTACACCTAGAAATAGTATAATATTCTTAGGTACAGTTGATATAAGGTACAGTTAACATCAACATTTACAACACAATGTGTGGACATCGGATCGGATTAAAAGATATTCATTTAAAACTGACTTTTTGATTTCGTCTGCGTTACTTTCAAAATAAGAAATGTATAGCTGACCAGGCGAACACTGTTCCTCGTTAAAGTCAGTAAATTAGAAGTTTTTGGATTTTATAAATTCTTTTTTCGATTGCATGAAAAGTCCTATGTCTATGTCCTAAGTCCTATCTTTCCACCAATTTTCACCATAATCAGTAAAGCCGTTCTTAAGTTATAAATAGTGTAACTAACTACTTTCTTTTATGTATAAAGATAAAGAAAAAGAAATAGCAAATTATCAAGAAAACACTAAACGAATATATCTGTTCATACACTGTAGATATGAAAGGCTTTGTTCCAAATCATAAACTATAATATCATACACAAATAGCCTATAAATATAGTTTGTTTATCCCTACTAATATTATGAATGCGAAAATAACTCTGTCTGTCTGTCTGTTACGCTTTCACGTCTAAACCGCTGAACTGATTTTAATGAAATTTGGTACAGAGATAGAGTTGACCTTGAGAGAGAACATAGGATAGTTTTTATCTCAGACTTTTGAAAGGTTCTCTTGGAAACGCGATATAACCGAACTCCACGCGGGCGGAAAGCTAGTCTCTTATATATGATTTTATTTTCCAGCCACAATCCTTAGTACGCTTCGAGGTGGTGGTTCTGTATTAGTGTGTACGGATACAGCGGGCCGGGTCCTAGAGCTAGCTCATATGTTGGATCAACTATGGAGGAACAAGGATTCCGGTCTCGTTGCATACTCACTATTGTTGTTGTCAAACGTCAGCTATAATGTTGTTGAGTTTGCTAAGTCACAGGTATGGGGTACAACATACAAAATATATAACACAATAATGAAATTATTTATTAATTAAATGCTAGTCTTAAATGATTTTATTAGGAATTTTTTTTTGGTAATAAATTAATATAGTAAAATAAATGACCTTGAAATTATATTTCTAACCAAAACTTGTAACAATTTTTCATTGATTGTAAGGAAGGACTAAGAAAATATCTCATTAGAATTCTGTAATTATATTATTTACGAGTAATATTCTATTACTATGTATTATAGATCGAATGGATGAGCGACAAATTGACTCGCGCTTTCGAAGGTGCTAGAAGCAATCCTTTCGCGTTGAGGCACCTGCAGCTGTGTCACTCCGTGGTTGAAGTCACACGGACCCCAGGCCCTAAAGTGGTGTTAGCCTCCTTCCCCGATTTAGAGACTGGCTTCGCAAGAGATCTTTTCCTGCAATGGGCACCTAATTCACAGAATTCGATCGTACTAACTGCAAGGTAGGAATATTCAGTTAAAGTGGATCTCCCAAGAAGGAGTAATTTGCTCGCTAAATCTAGATGTTATCCTAAAAAAACCAGCCTTTTTAAACTTTTCTAATTTGAACCTAGAGTGGTGTTTTTTTGTCATATTAGTGATCTAGGATGTGTGATACAAAACGTTTTAATAATACACATTGACAAATACTTCAAACATTCCTGAGCCTTTTCTGTATTAAGTTACGGAAAAAAAACTCGTAACATCAGTTCAAATAACACAACTAAGAAAATAAAACTTTGGTAAGCCAAACAAATGGTAATCTTAAAATTATACACAATTATATGTGTTACCCATTTCATTAAATTCTATGGGGGATTGATTTACATATTTTCCGTTCTCAGAACTTCCCCGGGGACCCTTGCCAGGGACTTGATGGAGAAGGGCGGCGACCGGACCATAGAGATGATTGTGAGGAGACGTGTCCGGCTGGAGGGGGCGGAGCTTGAGGAGTTCATGCAGCAGAGGGTCAAGGTCAAGGACGCGGTCAAGTATGTACACAGACTATACACAGGAGGGGGGAAATAATACTAATAACTAATAAGGCTCTATACACACATGTGACAATACATATCAAGTTATGAGAATACTAAAAGATTAATAAATTTGGGTTTTTAGTACTGGACTGAGCTCTTTATCTGTCTGTGGACTTAACAGTTGTATAACAAAGTTTCGGATTTAAAATTCTATATATAATATACATGTATGTAATTAATGTATGAGCTGACAAAAAATATTTTAATGTATACTAATCAGCAAAATTTAGTGTATCCCAACAATTAAGGAGAAAAGCTTCTGAATTGTCTAAACGCTTATGCTAATGAATGTACTGGCTGACTCCAAATAAATTTATCTTAATATATGCTATATATTCATTGGCAAAACTTTTTGGAAGTCCACAGTTGTGGAGAAAAGTCTCTAAAATATGTGAATTATATTGAAATTTAATAATCTTTTATTCCAGAGAGGAGACCGGTGGCATATCATCAGATTCGGAATCCGAGGGTGAATTGGAGATGTGTGTGGTGACTGGGAGGCATGATATACCGGTGAGGGGGGACGCGAGGCCCGCGGGCTGCTTCAAGAGTAACAAGAGGCACCACGCCATGTACCCCTGTACTGAGGAACGGGCTAGAGCTGATGATTATGGGGAGATTATACGGGTAAATAGAGAATATAGAGGGTGAAATTATGTATGGAGAAATTATATTTATAGGGAGAGAAACTTCTGCATAAAATAATCTGATGACTACGGGGAGATTATACGGGTAAATAGAGAATATACAGCATGAAATTATGTATGGAGAGATTATATTTATAGGGAAAGAAACTTCTGCATAAATTGGTCCTCCAGGTGGTCATAAATTACTGAAAATAACTTACAAGACACTTGTAATAAACAAGAGCAATCATATGGGTAGAATCACATTACATAGTAGGAGTAGCCAATCACATGATCTTCTTCATAAAATGATCTTCCAGGTGATCATAGAAATAGAAATTAGCAGCTCATAGAACACCTGTAATAATTAAAAGTAACCAAGTAGCTGTTCTGTTTTTTATAAGACTGGTTGTTTGAGGTTGGAGACAACAATAGTCTTTACAACTCCGATGTCTGGCAAACGTTAATTGACACTACTTGCCTGCTTTAATATTAATGTATGAAAAAAATTTAAAGGCAAAGATATATTTAAAGTCTATGATCATAATACATATCTTCTATATATATAAAAATGGATTGCTGTTCCTTAGTCTCGCTAAAACTCGAGAACAGCTGAACGGATTTATCTTATCTTAGTCTTGAAATGTTCGTGGAGGTTCAGGTAAGGTATAAAAGCTGACAAAAAATTGATTCATTACTGGGAAAACCATAAAAACAGCCCTTTTCTATTTCCCATACAAACGTTTTTTTGACATTAGATTTGACAACTAACTAATATGTCAATCATTCTGTTCGATTGAACCAGGAGAAACCTGATTATTAATGGCCTCTAAAACGGAATAGAGTTCGCCCAGTCAGCTATACATATATTACTAATGACGAAACTAACGCGGACGAAGTCGCGGGCAAAAACTAGTCTTATATAAAATATTATAATGATCTCATATTTCACTCACATCTGTGAGATTTATATTTCCTATGTCCATCGTATTGTTAGTAACATATAACTAAAGGTCTAATTTTCTTTTCAGCCTGAAGACTACCGGCTGGCGGAGGTTGTGGACGCCGAAGGAGAGATTCGAGACGTGCCGCCTGCTCCCGTACACACGCAGGAACCAGAAGGTACTTTGATATATATTGTATTATTTTTCTTCCTGGCAATTTCCCAATTAAAGCCAGGGTCTGCCTTACATGTTGTTCATAGTTTTGGCTAATTGTTTTTACGACCGGTCGCCTGCCTGACATCAATCCTCTTTGGGAATGCATTAATCAGTGATGTCTAAATACTCTTAGAAAGTACATATGATTCGGAAAAATCACATTGGTACTTTCTCGGGCCAGGGTAGAACCCGCGACCTCGTGCAAGAGAGACGGGCCTTTTACCCACTAGGCCACCACTGACTTCTTAGGATATATATTACATTATTATATAGGAAATACGTGAGAAATCCTACACTTTTCTTATTCCTCCCTTTTCCTTAAGAAGTAAGGTTGGCAAAGCATCCGTAACATCTATGTAGTGGATGTCCATGAGCGACGGTCACTACTGATCATCAAGTGGGCCGTCTACTCGTTTGAACCTTTCACATAAAACAATATACTTATATATTTTTGTATCTATATTAAACTATTGTATGTAGGTACTGATAGACTGAAAAAACTTAATATAAATTTCTAATTAATTAATATAAATTATATCAAAGTTCTACTTTAGGAATCTTATAATTTGATTCACTTAAGAAATACCTGTACACCTATCACATTTGATAGATAAATGTATTTAAATGAAACTAATATTTTCGGATTACGTCGCGTAATTTTATTATTAAAAAAAATACATACTCCCGACGTTTCGGTTACTTTGAACCAACCATGATCACTTGTCAGACGAGACGCATCGTAGTTTTTTTTATAATAAAATAACACATAGTAATCTGAAACCATTAGTCTTGGATCTCATTAAATATACTATATATTCCACAGAGGAGATAACAGAAATCCCAAGTAAGTGTATAACGTCGACCAAGCAGCTTCATGTTAAAGCCAGCATCCAGTACATCGAGCTCGAGGGTCGGTGTGACGGAGAGTCTCTTCTGAGAGTGGTGGCGGCCGCCAAGCCTCGGGCCGTGGTGGCGTTGAGGGCCGGGTCTACTGCACTGGCTACACTCAAGTGAGTTGTATGGAACGACCATATAAGGTGACCTCTGGTTACTATACTGATAAAAGAGGTCTTATATATCTTTATATATATACAAATTTCGTGTCACGTGTTTGTCCGCGATGGACTCCTAAACTACTAAACCGAATTTAAATTTGATTTGCATTCCGTGTGCATTTTGATCCAACTTGAAAGATAGGATAGCTTACATCTCAATTTATAGTCACAATATTATTTTATTGTAAATTATTTGTCTATTAAAGAAAATTATTTGTCATTATTACAATTATCTGTTGACTGAGTTAAGAATTCAATAGATGGCGCTATGTTAAAAATACAAACGTCATATATGAGCGACTATTTAATAATAGCATAACCACCACGTATTAATAATTCTTAGGCTAAGGTATTACCTAAATTTATTTATTAAAAAAACGTAACAGATATTTCTTGATTATAGGGCGATACGAAGTTCGCCGGGTCTTCTAGTATCTGAAATAAAATTAATTCATATTATTTGCCTTTCACCAGATTTCTATATGAAGTTTTTATGATTAATGGCACATATTAACACTAATATTTATTTATGTATTTATAGAAAACACTGTGACAGTGAGGGTATTGAGAAGGTCTTCACACCGAGCCGCGGAGACACAGTTGACGCGACTACCGAGTCTCATATTTACCAGGTAACGTATTTATTACAACTCATACACCAATAGAAGACTAGAAAATTACAATTCGCGTCTACTAATTTGTAAAGAAATGTACTGAAATCGAATTAGATAGAATTCTTTTTTGTACAAAGATTTCCTGACTTTTTTTAAAGTGCACAGACGAGACGAGCACAAATATTAATTTTCAAATCAAAGAATCGGAATTAAAACATCAACTTATTATATCAACTATACTATTTTGTATATTGAAATCGAACATACAATTTACAAAGAATCGGTCGATCCTCATTTAGTTTACATATAAAAGCTGATATACATTGATAAATAATTATTAATAAAACTAATATTTCAGTACATAACTCCTCCTTAATATATATTCCAGGTGAAGTTAACGGACAGTGTAATGTGTGGTCTGTCGTGGCGCTCGGCGGGAGACGCGGAGCTGGCGTGGCTGTCGGCCGTGGTGGCGCAGCCGAGGACCCGCGACACGCCCAGCGGTACGAGAACACCTGCATACACTACACCTGCATATACACTACACCTGCATATACACTACACCTGCATATACACTACACCTGCATATACACTACACCTGCATATATACTACAACTGCATATATACTTTTTTTTTTATGTGAAAGCTGGCAAACGAGCAGACGGCCCACTTGATGGAAGGTGGTTACCGGCGCCCATGGACATCCACAACATAGATGTTGCGGATGCGTTGCCAACCTTGTTTTGTAGGGATAGGGAGGGATGGGAATAAGGAAATGGTAGGAAAGGGTGGGAATAGGGAAAGGGCAACCGGCTCTCTCACTCATCAGACGAAACGCAGCCATTAAGGCTACTTCACGCCGATCTTCTGTGAGAGGGTGGTACTTCCCCGGTCGAGCCAGCCCATGTTCGAGCTGTAGTAACTGACTACAGCTAGGCTCTACCACCTAAGAATACACTACAACTGCATATATACTACAACTGCATATACACTACACCTGCATATACACTACACCTGCATATACACTACACCTGCATATACACTACACCTGCATATATACTACAACTGCATATATACTACAACTGCATATATACTACAACTGCATATATACTACAACTGCATATACACTACACCTGCATATACACTACACCTACATATACACTACACCTGCATATATACTACAACTGCATATATACTACACCTGCATATATACTACACCTGCATATACACTACACCTGCATATACACTACACCTACATATACACTACACCTGCATATACACTACACTTGCATATATACTACAACTGCATATATACTACAACTGCATATACACGACACCTGCATATACACTACACCTGCATATACACTACACCTGCATATACACTACAACTGCATATATACTACAACTGCATATATACTACAACTGCATATACACTACACCTGTATATACAGACGTATTTACTGATGACTCTGTCACCTGTGACTTGATGGTTACAGAGGAAATATTAGTATTCTCAATATACAGTGGCGGCTGTACCTTAACTGCACTCGTGCGCTGAACCACCAATTCAAAAGATTTAAAAATTACAAAATATTACTTCATATTTATTTTTAAATTACCATTTTAATATTTATTTTTTAAACATATAAAAACGTATAAAAAATGATATTTCGTAATTATGGTCAAAAAGTTTGAGCGCTTTACTAAACTCATATCTCGTGCGTTTCGGCGAGTGAACGAGGACTGCTATTACATCTTGTATGAGATAGGAATTAATACGCCTGACGCGTGAAACAACATAGTTTATAGAAATGTACCGAGTAATGAGTCGGTTCTCGAGCGCCGCACGAGCGGCCGAAGATTACGGAGAGCACCCGATGTATGACGAATTGTGCCATGATTGACATCTCGTTATGTTTTGTTGCATTTTCTAATTTTAATATTTTAGTAAAGTGCACCACCGGTTCGATTACCCACCGGCCGCCACTGTCAATATACATATACGAATTAAGCTTGTCTGTAAGACTTACTCTCTGGTAGACACCAGCTATGACCAGGATTTTAATTCAGATAGAAGTTTCACGCAATTCATATACACTTGTTCTTGAGACACATTTTCTTAGCCTATCAGCTCGCATTCACTTATTCTTAAGAGAGATTTTCTCAGCCAAAGTATAGTCGCTAGTTAGAATGTTTTTATTATAAATCAGATACTATGTAGGGCTTTGCTCTTGTGATATTTAGTCCATGAAAAATTAATGTAGTTCCAGGTATTTCTATAGATATTGTATATAATATTGTGTGTTTGTGTACAGAGGAAGTGGCGGACGTGGAGATGATGTCTCTGGAGGCGGCGGAGGGCGTCCCTCACGGCGCGTGGTTCGTCAACAGTGTGCGTCTGTCGGAGCTGCGGGCGGCGCTGGCTCGCTGCGGGCTCGGCGCGGAGTTCAGTGCCGGCGCTCTGGAGTGTTGCAACGGAACCATCGCTATACGACGAGTTAGTGTTGATTGATATACCACTGTTACAAGTGGCGGCATCTGTACCGTACTAGTTATATCATACTGTAAACCTAAGACCCAGTTTCACCAATCATTGTTAAATAAGTAACATCGTGTTAAGGTGTTTGATGCTCTGTTAGATGGATCGGGCGTCCCACCACGCACAAATGTCCGTTTAAATAAATTAACCAGCCACTAATATTAATTCCTGCTCTGGAGCTCCTTCTAATGGCTAACATGACTGTTAATGCATTGTCGAAACTCTATTGTCCAATCACAGCCCTGATTTCTTGTAACCATAGTAACGTCACCTGTTTTGTCAGTTTCGACAATTTCCTTGTACTTATTAATAAAGTGAATTAAAAATTCATTTCCTATCATGATTTTGCCTCAGGCTTTTTTATAACATTGCAAATTAAATTTTCTTTTTATCTCTTATAATTTGAACACAATTTATGCCTATATTTATAAAATAATAATAAATAGCACAATTTATTGACAACCCGATTTTGACAGGTTACACCTAGTAAATTGAAAAGAAAGCTTTTTGTGTGCCACATGAATGCAACCAACGATATATAAAATTTGGGCGCATTACCTAACAAGTGACGTATCGAGAGATATATACGATCAAAGTATGAAGTGGTGCGTCGTGGCAAACGTGCCGTGTTAAACGCTTTAGTTTCCATTTGGTCGTCTAACAAGAACGAATAATTTGGTAGTCGGTCATTTGACATGACGTTTAATAATGCGTTGTTAATTTGTCATCGTGCGACGTAAATATTTTAACAGATATTTATAATTTTGAAGGCTGGTTATTAAATGCTATGATTCGATTAAACAAACAATGATTGGTGAAACTGGGTCTTAGAATTATTTTTATGACTGATTAATTATAATTATAATTATAATTACTGGAGGCCTAGTGGTTAGAGGGCTCGCCTCTCGTTGCCGAGGGCGCGGGTTTAAACCTGGCAAGTACCAATGTGATTTTTCAGAGTCATATGTACTTTCTGAGAGTATTTGTGTGGATACCACTGACATACGGTGAAGGAAAACATCGTGAGGAAACCAGGACTTATAGTTTCAAAATTATAAGTTTGAAATCACCAACCCGTCTTGAGCAAGCGTGGTGATCAATGCTCAAACCTTCTCCATGTGAGAAAGAGGCCTTTGCTCAGGAGTGGGCTCTGTTAGGCTGAGGACTATAATTATAATATTGAACCATTGTAATTTTGTAATGGCAACATTTAGTATCGACTTGTATTTGGAAACTTTAGCCATTTTGTAAGACGTTACTGTAAGTAACGCTGAACATTGAAAAAACAAATCTGAAACTGTACCTCGAACTCAATTGTATTAATGATAAAAGTGATGTTGTAAATTCAGTAATAACATTTCAGTTTGTAATGTTTCATTCAGTAATGTTTCCTAATTATAGGATAAATTTTTTAAAAATCTATACCTTACTAAACTTACAGGTTATATAATTTATCGGAAAATTTTTTTCAACAGCTTATTGATTTATTATCCAAGTCAAATAAAAATATTCTTTACTTATATCTTACACTATATGATAAGACAATCTTTTTGATCCACTAATTTATATGAGTACAAATCAATTTGTCAGATCAACAAAGTTTTGTAACGAGTCACTTTTATTACTACACCGTATTGTTATCTGTAACACTAGTTTAATCCCCTTACTTTTCTTATTCCAGTTGGAGAATGGTCGCGTCGCTCTCGAGGGAGTGCTCTCTGAAGAATATTTCAAAGTGCGGGAACTTTTGTACGATCAGTTCGCTATAGTGTAGATTTAAGACTATTGTAAAAACAATTAAATACTTTTAGCATACTAATTCGTTATTTTTTTTAAATGAGTGTCTATTATTTACTGATTGGAGAATTAATATTCCATCTTTGTCATATTTTTTATAAGTCATATTTTTTAATATGACGGAAGCACTGGTTAAAACAAGAATAAGGATTTAAACAAATAAATAATGTATTTTAGTGTCTTAATATAAAGATAAATAAATTAAAAATCTCATCAAAATTTTATAATTTATTTCACAATCGTCGAGACCGATTTATAGTAACATCTTGTAAACAAATAAACATACGATTCATTCAATACAGTATGAGACCGGAGACGGTACCTAATAAAAGAATTTGACATTACTATTGAGATTTATATCCAACAAAAAAAAAAACAAACTAACATAATCACTTTACTGATAGTAAATCAATAATTGCAGTTGAATTCATTCTTCTAAATCTCAATAGTAATATCAAAAGGAAGCATAATAAAAAATGAAAACTTAAAATCTAATCTGGCACATCTCACATTTGTACATGTATCACACCCAACGCTGCAACAGCGGTTATATTACAACTATAAATAACTCCATATTCTTAACATAAGAACAAATACAGGCGAACCACCGTCACTCACCGGTACGGATAATAAACGATAACATAGTTAAATGCACGACTTCACTTCACATAGACTGTGATAAAACAACCATTCTGACATACAGTTTGAAGTGTCAACGATCAGTAACTTAGTACAAGTTAACGATGAACTGAACACGGACAGTTAAACGTATTTTGCTTAGTAACTTAACAGTACGATGTGCGATGATTCATGAATGGTATACTATCAACTGTCCGTGCACAGTCTGGCGTTGTGAACGAGTGGTAAGGCTAAAATAGTATCTGAAATATCACATAATTGACGATCATATGTTATTTTATTGCATCACAAAGTACAATCATAAAGTAAACGGTAAAAAAAAACAATTCATAGTCTTATTCTACGATGGTTCGGGCTGGGGGACGAGCGGAAATTACGTCATAGCTTGTACGATGAGAACCGGAAACAGTTAGCGGACAAGTTTGGAACTTACAAAAATGATATTATATGGTAACAGTATTTGAGGTATTCATTATTAATACCGTTCCACTTTCATAATAAAATAACTCTCTGTAACAATCCAAAAAAATATGTCTATATGGATGAGATATATATCTGGGTATATAATAATAAGTGGAACAGCTCTAAAAATAGATAGCTCTATAGTACTATTTATGATTATGATTTAAAATAACTGTCTATAGTGATACTTAACATACGGACGAAAAACCATAGAGCTTCTATTTTTTTTTAAACTCTATGATTTTTCGTGGAATAGAAGCGGACTGCCAAACGTGCAACCTCGCACCGACTATAGTGTAAAACTTACCACGTGTTTAAAATAAAAGCCGAATACGGCCGACCAATAGAAAACATGTCGATTCAGAGGCGTGGAAGAAATAAACTACTGAGATATAAAAGAAAAACCGCGACTACAAAACGCCCGCTTCTGTAGATCAATTAAAATTTCATAAAAGCCGTCACAGAAGTCGACCGGTGCCAGCCGCGTCAAATCCCTAACGGTATACATCGAGCACATAATCTCAAAACATCACCATTAACCTACATATAATTTTAGTATTATACAAAAATAGTAACAAGTTTTGTACTAGATCCTTCCATTTTGTACATATGTCGCGTGTCACAAACATTCGCCAGCTCACAGCCAGACAGACGGACGACAGAACTATATACACATCGCGGACCGCTAAATGCAGACGGAAACGGAAACGAAACGTGCCCGGGCGTCATACAGGAGTCGAACTGAGAGTAAGGTACAGGCTTCAAGGGATCACAACCGAGGGTGAGGGTTTACCGCAGGCAGGCCTCCAGCATCTCCACGAACAGCTTGTTCATGGGCGCGCGGCGCTCGCGGTGCACGCCCGCCCAGAAGCGACGCACGGCCACGTCCGCCACACGCAGCGCCGGCAGCACCAGCAGCAGCTGCTGCAGGGACGCGTTGGCGTTGTACGGCCTGCACACACACACACATTATATATAACAAGCAGTTGGACTAACATAGGTGTACGGTCTGGAACACACACACACACAGACACACTTAATATATAAGGAGCAGTAAGACTACCATAGTGTTTGAGAGACTTGGATTCAAACAAGGAGCATCATCTCCCTGATAAATATTGAAGGATTCGACAACTTTGATAGACGCCAAGTTTGATTTGTGTTCAGAGAATATACTCATAGCATCAAATGTAATAGGACATATAAAGAACCTAAAACAGGAAAAAACATCTATAATAATAAGCTCAAAACCTAATAGTATCATATGCTAACCTCAAGGCGGACACGGCGTCGTTGAGTGCGGCTAATATAGCGTCCCTAAACCGTTTGAGGGCCGCGTGCTCATCTATACGAGCCTCGGAGTTAGCTAACGCGAGCGCCTTCAGCAGGTAGCACTCTTCACGCTGGGCGGACGCACGCTCCAGGCGACGGGTCACGCCTGCCACCTACAACATATTATACACAATAAGATAGAGCCACAACATATTTTAATCATCCAATTCCTAAATTAAGATACAAAAATTCCATAGTGACTTACAACTTGCAAAAATTATAAATCATAACGGTATGTTTCGCATGCGAGACAAAACATTCCGACAAATGAGAACAAATTCAAAACTTAAAGTCCATTTCTCGTGGGTGTGTCGCCTGCTCACGTGTATTTGTGTATGTGTGTGTGTTTCGTCTGCTCACGTGTATTTGTGTATGTGTGTGTGTTTCGTCTGCTCACGTGTATTTGCAAGTGTGCGTGTCGCCTGCCCGTGTGTGTGTCGCCTACTCACGTGTATGTGTATGTGTGTGTGTATCGCTTGCTCGTGTCTTTGTGTGTGTGTGTGTGTGTGCGTGTGTTCTCTTAACCTGTAGGTATAGGTCGTGAGCGCCGAGGTCCCTGGCCTGCTGTTCGTCGAGCGCCAGGTCCGCCGCGAACCTCAGCCTTAGCGCTCCGCCCGCGGACATGGACCTGTAGGCGACCATCAGACTCAACATCTCCGCCCACGTGCTCTGGAGGAGACGCATCTGAGGATAACATAAACACATTAGTAGAATTACTACTGAAACAATAATTTAAATTAAAAAAAACTATCATGTTATCATGTATAATATGTAAGTCATATTGTGAAAGATTATGTAAAAAAAAATGTATCTGTCTAAAACGCTCACAACTAAATTAGTACGTAATATTTTGTTTTGTTGTCTCATTAAGTGAAATATAATTACTTTTTAGGAATAAATGTCTTTAACCACCCATTTATATGAATCTTGACTTCTTTAAGTATCAACAAAAGTGGTTCCGAGCTAAAGTTAGAAAAAAAGATATGAAACTTTAGTTAAGTACCATATGCCGTAAATAAAATAGTATAACTTGTAGTATAACCACAGTAATATTGCCAAAGTTTATTTCGATAAAACTAAGTATCCGCAGTATCTAGCATAACCCGTAGTTAGTGTCACCCGTAAGGTGAATCCATCGTTGCTGAAAGGTTTCGTCCCATACATATTATATTCTAGTTATTCATATAGTATATGTTCTAACCTGATCATTGAGCGCGAGGTCAGTGAACCCCGGTATCTGTTTGGCCCAGCCGATCACCCCCACCAGTTCTCTGTCGTAGATGTCCGCGAGCAGCGCCAGCGTGCGAGCTTGGGGCTCCGTCACGCCCGCCGGTACTGATCCGCACGATAATAACTCGGGCTCGTATGACGTTAGGGCTTCAAGGACCTGGGGAGAAGATTATTATATATATAATTCTCGTATCACAATATTCGTTCCCGTGCTCCTCGGAAACGGCTTGACCGATTCTCATGAAATTTTATGAGCATATTGAGTAAGTCTGAGCATCGGCCAACATCAATTTTTTTATTTATTTGGACGAAAGGTTTTGTTTAAATTTTTTTGATGATATGGTATAAAAAATACATACAACCCAAAATTTTTATCTCCAACCAATACTTTTGATATGGCAAAACAACGTTTCCCGGGTAACCTAGTTATATGATATACATATAAGAATAATATAAAAGAAAACGAATATACTGCTACATAATAAATAGTATGTACATATCAATTGTGACTTGTTGGTGTTAACAAATAATACGAATATCAACATGGTATGTATAATTTTTTGACTTCATATATTTTTTTAAGATAAATAAACTCGAATATTAAAATGTGTGTATGTGTGTACAACATCGAATCTGAATATATTTAATCTATTTAAAACTAAAAGTTACTTCAAAATAATTAGAACTTATAACAGGTGTATAAAGTGACATTCAATTATAAATTAATCCAATAAATTTCCCAAATATCAAGTAATTTTCTTTCAAACTAATAACATTAATATTAAATATTAATAGTACTTATATTTACAATAGATTAAAAATAAAACAATTCCGTATACATTTAATTTAACCTTATAATATACTAGCTTTCCGCCCGCAGCTTCGCCGCGTGGAGTTCGGTTATATCGCGTTTCCAAGAGAACCTTTCAAAAGTCTGGGATAAAAACTATCCTATGTTCTTTCTCAAGGTCAACTCTATCTCTGTACCGAATTTCATTAAAATCAGTTCAGTGGTTTAGGCGTGAAAGCGTAGCAGACAGACAGACAGACAGACAGACAGACAGACAGACAGAGTTACTTTCGCATTTATAATATTAGTAGGGATGATTGTTGTGCATAAATCATTTGCCACGTCTCAAGGCCGGGCGGGTTTTTTGTTAAGTATTTGGAATGCGAAATGCATCTCGATTGTATTCAATCATGTTTTATACATATATATTTATTTATAACAGATATTATTATTTTTATATTAAGTTTTAATTAATAATTATATCAGTAATATATAAAACTACAATATTTGTAAAGTAGAATCATTTTTTATATGCATAATTTGTGTGTCAATCAATATAGTACTAAATCTATAGAAAGATCAATCGTCTTACAATAATACAATAGTTCAAGGCCTTTAGTTTGACCATATGAAAACATTATACAAAAAATACTGAGTGCTATATTAGAATTTATTCAACAATATTTGATCAATACTTTTAAAGCTATGGACATTAAATTGTATTTAAAGAGGCTGTATATATAATACTAGTTCTTGCCAGCGGCTTTTCTTTTTTCGCATTTCAAATATTTTCGTACTTAATTCTAATTATAGAACGTCCGATTGATGGTAACAAACAGGATGGCTATTCCAGAAAAATATTATTATGGATAAAATAAAAATGGAACTATCTTATTGGTTCAGGCTTCATGAGACATATACAGGGTGACTGGTGAATTACTATCAATACTTGAGGACGTGATATTTGACGACCATATATGACAAAATAAAAATTAATATAACATAAATATTAATAAACTTCTAAGTAAAGTTAACCAAAAGTTATGTAATTGATTACGCATCGTGGGAACACCCTACAGATTAGGTATACACACACACACACACGCGTGCGGCGGCGTGCTGATACAACACCACGCCGCCGCACGCGTCCACACTTGGAACACTTGGAACGTGTCCACACTTTATTTATTTATACGGATTTTGGTCAAAAATTAACTACCTATTTTTTTACATAATTCGATTGAAAATCATGTACCGAGTATTCTCCTTAAATATTGATAGTAATTCACCAGTCACCCTGTATACTTATTATGAGACAAATTTGGCCAAAAACACTTTATTTTCAATTTCCCTTCATCTAGTGAACTCGTTCATCTCAACTGTACAACACTGGGCAATGACTAATTCTATTAAATTATAAAAGCAAATATATGCTTCATAGTGTTCCGTACAGATGTACCTATGTTACTCATTCACGAAAAAAGTATTGAACGTATATTAATTAAACTTCCTCATAGTATAACTAACACAGCAGTTAAGAATGTATGCTACAAATATTGAGAAATTATATTTATAAAGTCACGTGACACAGATGTCGCCACCATTGTGTTACCATATCACACATTCGTTATATACAAAGCTAGTTTTCAAATCGTATATAGTGTCTGGTAGGAACAGTACATTTAAATGAAACTAATTATTTTCGCATATACTACGCGATTTTTATTAAAAATAAACATACTCCCGACGTTTTGGCTATTTAACAACAACCGTTATCACGGACAGACTAGATGTAATCTCCGAGTACATCCGAAAAATATTAGTTCAATTTAAATAAGACTCGCGAAAATCTTAGATCTCATTACAGTTAGTAGTTAGTACACTCCAAGTTCCTCATCAGTGTATCCTTACCTTTATATCATCCAGCGCGGGTCTGTGCTGCCCGGTGGCCGCGTGCTCCCCCCTCCTGTACTTCTGCCTCCCGCCCCTCACTCTGTCCAGCCTCACCCCCTCCCTCAACATGCCCGTCCTCAGGCACTTTCTGAACCTGCACGCCTGGCACGCCTTCCGTCTCCTCTTGTTTATCTCACACTCGTTAGCCGCTGGGCACGTGTACTCTATGTTGCCCTGGAAATTTAAATGGTTATGATATAGTAGATTTTGCCTGCGACTCTGTTTGATTGAGTCAGAATTAGATGTATAGTTGACCTGTAAAACTGTTTCGCTTCAGAGGCAGGAAATAAACAGATTGCTTTTTTGTCAAACTAGTTGATAAATTGCCTATGTCCGTCTCCTGGTTCTAAGCAAACTCCTCACAATTTTATAACCAGATCCGTACAGCCGTTCTTGAGTTATAAATAATGTGACTAACATGACTTTCTTTTATATATATAGATATAGTGATTTTTCTACCAAATGGTCTATGATATAGTCTCGATGTTGAACATTGGTCCAACCTGTATAGTCCGTTTGAAGAATGCCTTGCAAGCCTCGCAGCTGGCGACTCCATAATGGAAGCCCGAGGCGATGTCTCCACAGACGAGGCAGAGTCTCCGGGGCGCGTCGTCATCTCGGGCTCCGCTGGCGGCCGCGGCTGTGGTCGAGGAGCAATGCTGTTGTTCAGGGCTCGTGTTCCCGACCACACCAGCCTCGCCTGGCGACACGCAGAACCTGGCTTCCTCTTTAGGTTCCAATTCCAGCTGGAAGATTATTTCACATATAATTATATAAATAACTTTATTCTCTAGAGCTGTTTCCGTTTTCAGATGAACAACTTATTAAACGATACGATAAAAATATGTATAATATCAAATAAAATAAAAAGTGAACTTCTTTTATCAAAGGTAGGAACAGTAAATGTCCAGGTGTTCCAGGTGTTGACTCACATTGCATGTCTCCAACATCTGCATCGGCCTGTGGTGCTCCGTGGGCGAGTACTGTGCCGGCGGCTCCACCTCCTGCTTCACCCGCCTCAGTATAGACTCGCCGCTCACAGCTGACATCATTTGAACCTGGAACCAGAAACGATATCTCTTCTATATCTTTGATACAGCTATCTTCTTCTACCTGGCAATTTCCCAGCTTTAGCCAGGGTCTGCCTTACATGTTATGAATAATTTTGGCTAATTGTTATTACGACCGGCCGCCTGCCTGACATCAACCCTCTTTGGGAATGCATTAAACAGTGATATCTCAGAAAAATCACATTCAGGTACTTGCCAGGGCCAGGATCGAACCCGCGCCCTCGAGCATGAGAGGCGGGCCTTTTAACCACTAGGCCATCGCTGACTTTATACAGCTTATCTTTTAACATACTGATCTTTTATACAGCTATATATCAATGAAACTCCTTAAAGGTTGATACGAAACCTCCTTGGTATTAAGCTTTTCATTTTTTTTTTATTATTGGAGCAGTTCGCTTTGATTATAACTTTTTTTTGGAAATAATTTGAAAATAATAATGAATAGCCATTAATTTTCTTTTACTATAAAATTAAATCACATTTTGGACTATGCTTACAAGTTAGTGCTAAATAATATTTGATATTAAAATTTAAAACGTATGAAAACCAAAATGCTATTATTTCGAGTAAAATTTTAAATGAAAATGTACATATGATCTAAAAAAAAAACAATGTGTGATTAATTTAGTAAAAAGATTATGCAAAGAAATATTCATCAAATAGAAGAAAAATAAACGCTTTTATTTTGTAAACTTATAGCTAAAATGTATACCTACCTACCTACTTAAATATTATAAAGATTATAAAGAATTATAAAGAAACATTCGAAAAAAATAGAATTTTCCTAGTATTGAATATCCATATTATGCAAGTAATTCACATTACATAATATTAAACATACTTATATTAAAACAAAGACATATAGGTACATCATCATTGATACGAGAAAAAATATATTTAAAAATATTATATTAAAAAACCAACTTATGGTTCATTAACAAAAATTTTGTATGAAAAACGATATAAATAACTCGAGTACCTACATACTTAATTAACAAAACATAATTAAAATAAGCGGACTCGAAAACTTCGTACAACGATAACGTGATGCGAAACTAAAGAATAACACATTTTATAACAAGATAAACACATATAGGTCATCGAGAATTATTGTTAGATAAAAAAATATATATACTTCTCAGATAGCGAAAAAACATATACTTTTTATCTATAAACGACAAATATCTCAAGGATGCCGTCAGAGTTCAACGTACTCCTGACATTGCCGATTATATGATAAAAAATAATAATAAATATAGTGACGTCATCGACATGTATCAAACAAAGCAATCAGAGACCCAATTTAATATTTCGTAATTTTTATACATTTTATAAAAATTATAATACATTTTGAGATCGTTGTAAACGAGATTTCATTTCAAATTGATTGAATGTAAGACGAAAACTGACCTATGTAGACTTTTTTACTTGATATACTTATAAAAAAGATATATTATATATATAGGCTATGTATTTATATATAATATGTCTATTATGTATCGTATAGCGTGTTTTTGGTTCGGTATAGTGCGAGCCTATCCCAACGTCGGCTCGGTTGGTCGCCGAACGGATTTCCATTTATCTACGAAGGTGATTCCGCGGACGTACGGTCGATGAACCACACATATTATTATGAATATCTATTTTGCGCCACAACACACCGAAATTCTCGTTCTTACGCGATTTATAACGATCTCAAGGTCTCCGCTTGGAGTGCTCTTTTTTTTGATCATCGACCGGCCAACGAAATTATGTGAGCGTTTTAAATATGTATAATCAAAATACCGACGTCTTGACGGAAATGACGTATGTCATAATAATATTGAAATTTCTAACATATTTAGAATTCATATATGTTTTAATTGTAACATATAACATATAGTTTTAATCAATAATAATTTATCTGTGATTGAATCATGATTGAAAGGCTATATCCAACTCCAGTTCGAAGCAAAAAGCGCGACCTCCAAAACGACTACCTCAATTTAAAATGGTTTAAGAACAAATAATAACACTCCTTAGTAACATAGTTGGATAAAAAATTCAAAAATCCATTATAAATATCTGTGACGCGGTAAAAAAACACTTACATTTCATTCCTCGTCAAACAAAAGACATACGATAAATTCTCATACGAATTACATATAATATGCAAAGTTATTTAAATTAATACAAATCAACTCGTACTGCGATAGTGAAAAACAATGTACGTACGAATAATTTTCTATTTACAACGAATTTGGCTACAGGAATGAAAACATTATCTATCTCTTTCTTTCTCTTTCTGTCCCTTTCCTTCTTTCAGTTATTATTTCCTCATAGATTACGCCAAAGAAATTTTTTCGTGGACGTAACAAAAGCAGATAGTAGATACCTATTGAACATGACCTTGCACTATTGTAAGCCATTAGCGACAACTACAAGTAGCTTTACTTACATCCGTACGATAAAAATATATACGAAACGAAATATAACACTTTAAATCTATATAAATAAATAAAATAACTACTTCCTACTGAATTCATATATGTATGTAGATGCAAACGTTGTGCATATAAGAAAATAACGATTTTTTGTCAGTCTGTTTTTAGGTCCAATCTCTGAAATATCTGTGGATAGCCTATTAAATACGCTGTTACTAAGCTACAATGTTTTATAAATTTTATCACTATATTGATTAATAACCATTCCGCGCGCATGAAGTCGCGTGCAGCACTAGTTAATAGTAAAATGTTTTACGTACAAGCTAGCACTCCGCGCCTCCCGGACCTACCTCAAGACATATAGAAATGTTTGCGTATTTTTCCGTCCGTTATCGAAAAAACATTTTTTTTTATCTTGTAGCCGAGTTGACGATATCGCTAATATTTAGTACAAATTTATGCTTAAATTTTTAAAACATACTTTATCCTACATATAATATAGCTTAAAATAGAACATGACATTATTTTTAATATAAATTTTAGTTTTTATACAGCTATTGTTGTCAGAAACCAGTTTCCATAGGATACCGAACGTCTAGCTTTCTCTATTTCTGAACCAATTACGCATTTCAGTCATAAAACGTAATCGATTGACAGACCCACTTTCACTTATAAACATCGCGTGCGCCCGGGTTCCCGCCCACTGAGCATACGAAAATATTTTATGACAGTGACAGCTCAACTTTTTTTTAAATTCTTAAACTCAAACAAAATAAATAATACCTATATGTACTACATGAGATATTAATATTAATCGAACAATTTTATTAGCCTTAATAGTAGAACGGTATAATTTAATACGGAATGCATACAATCTAAAAGAAAACCCGATAGCATACAACTATTCTCGGAAGACTATTTAAAAAACATTATTCACGAAGCTACATCCGAAATCTAACATCGGAATATATAATTATATTGCACATTGAAACCTTCAACGTTTTTAGCATCACTCGTTTTTTTTCTATCAAAATATAATTTGAAATTATGACAGAATGATTTATATTACTGTACCGTAATTATAGGGAATCTAGATTCTAAGAGAGCCTTAAGTTATAATGGCTAGATTTTATTTAGAGTCTAGACTAAAACCGGTTCCGGCCAGGTATCCTAGACGTGTTATAATTCGAAGTCAATTTGCGTGTGGTCTGCTTCCAAGGCCAGCATTACATATTCGCCGACAGCCGCCTCGCAAGCGATGACTTCACTAACACAATTTTATCAGCTACACCACAGCTCAACAATAGACACTGTTCAATAAGCTTGTATACCTAAACGATATATACATTTTATATAGAGTATCTTTTTTCAACAGACGTGAAATTTATAATTTTTTCATTAGTACAAAATCATTGGTAATATAACGTCGATTAATACATTTAATATGACAAAATACTAAACATATTTTTTGTACATTATTGATAACTAAAATTAAATTGATCGATATTCTAAACCTAACAATATAGCTATAGAACGGACAGAAACAAGCATATGTCATATATTTATTAATATATTACAACATCCTTGAAAGCATCAAGTGTAGCTATACGTGACTTGGTAAAAAAATAATGATATTGGATCCATCATAGAGACGATGTAACGCTAGAAACGCCGTAACTATGTATGGGTAGGTCAGGTATGTACGCCTACAGAGTTTGGAGCGGACATATTCGGCAGGAGGTAAAAATAAATAGTGGGGGCGCGACTGGTTTAGGAGTAGGGGTCGCGGGCCGGGGCGAGGGGGGGGGTGTCGGGGGGAGGGGGCGCGCGTCTAGACTGCGGCCTTGACCGCGCCTGTTTCCGCGCGTTCGAGGTCGCCTCCACTCGCAGCCTATAGACCGACTGAGGGGAGACTCAACAGTGACTTACTGTTCCTATAAAGTATAATGGGTATAGGATACTATGACATTATCATAAAAACTTAACACCTATATGAAAACAGGATATCGATTATAAGAAATACTATACATCGATCTGAATATAAACATTTATCTGATAAATTATTGAAGCGAAACGATCGCGAAGAAAGACGATAAAAATTAGCTAGAACATGCGTCGAGGCGAGGCGCGTCACTGGGCTATGAACTCTGGCGGTTCGACATTGTGCCGACATTGGGCCGAGCTAAATAATGTTGATAGCGGAGGGTCAACGACCTGCACCACCCAATATCAGTGAACGGGCGAACGTTACATAGAAATGATGATCGCGTCACTAGGCTTATGTAAGACCTACCTCAAACGAAATGTACCCAGACCTGCTCAACAACCTATCATTAACAAGGAATTAACTTAATAATACCTATCTAACATTTAAATTACCACTCAAATAATAATACACATACCCATTATATAAAATAATTATTATTTATACACATCGATAATACCGAGCCCAGTGAAAGAGCCATTTCATTATTCATCCTCTCCTCGTATACTGAATGTGACACACTAACCGAAAGACGGTCGCATCCAGAATAATTAAACGAAAAAAAAACAACCAAAAACACACATTACATAACAGAATATTAACGTACATAAAGTATGTTAAATATCTAAAGGGATCTTCGAATTTTGTTATCGGAAATAATTACATTTTTTATTGGAGTATTTTGGTTTGAGGGGGCAGAAGTGGGAGGAGGGGAAAGTACTCCGGGTGACATTGCCAGGCCGTCGACACCACGACCTACGCCACGAGCGTCGAACGCCACGGAAAACTACGTCTACACTGTACATAGATTTTCCCTTTCAATATACAATCTGTACTCGACTTAAATTACACTCACTGACACAGTAGGTATATGTAACATCATTATTCATATATATTATGAAATTTAAATCATTTTATATATTATAAGACGGTTTTTTCTTGAGTATCGCGAGTCCGGTTACACCGGAGTATGTAATTTCATTGTCTATACAAATTAACCTTGATGTAATATAAATTTTTGGTGTAACATAAATCTAGACGGGTTTGTGAGACACGATACTGCGAAACCTTTTTAAGTCGACCTGGACGTATATCTATATTACTTAGGTTAAAAATGAAATGCTATTTTAGGTACTCTAAATTTAAATAAAGTTAATTATGACAAACGTTATATATATAAAATACATTTTTTATTATATACCTAATCACCTGTCCATATATGCTAATCACAAAAAAACGCACCCAGAACATTGCCACCAATTAACATCAATTTATAAAAAAACGAAAAGCAACATAGATGGAAATAAAAAGACATAAAATAATTACGAAGGCGGTGACCATTTTATTAGTATCATTAGTCAAAACATATGTGAACATTAGATTTAATATATTTAGTGACCGGTTTCTAAACATGCTGTATATAGTTAATTTAAAACCCTTAGAAAATAACCAACTCACTTATATCCGACATAATGAAATCCGAAGAACAAATCCATTTGATTATTGAACACATTATTTATATTAGAAATTATTAAACTGCACTTTCAAGTTACATCGGCCAACCAATGGCAGCGAGGCGAGTGTTCTGTTACGCACAATGCGCGTGCGCAGGTCACGCATTGCGTGCGCCCCACCAGCTGTGTCGAGCTACACAGATTGGTCCCTTCGGATGCGGCGCGACGAATGAGAGCCCTAACACACAACCTTCAGATTCATACAACGAATAATGTTACAATGTTCTAAAGTAATGTTCGCGGAGAGATGTACCCGATGTTACTGGCGCGGCCATTGGTCGGTACTTCGCCCTTTAATATAACGATGCATAATGTTATTTAACTTATATAATGTGAACGTGATATGCGATATTATACTTTATTTCTGATACTATAAGAACTTTTGCTGTATATAAAAATAATACTATATAAATGATAGATTTCAACAGTCCGTTTGCAACACTAAAATGACTTATTTGTGCTAAATTAATTTTTATTTTTACACGGGACATAATATGAAATATTTTTTCAGTCCTTCTATTTAGGTGCAACCTAATCTCTAAAAGTGCTCGTCCAATTTTGACGAGGTTTGCACTGGCTATAGCTAATATAATAGAGAGTAACTTAAGCTACTTAAGAGTCGCCGGACATGCAAATATTAAAATAATTAATAAACACGAAAATTATAAGGACATAATTATTAAATCAATGTTTTAAATCTCTATCTTTTCTGTACGTTTTTAGCCTAATCATTTTCAATCTTATGATTCACACCTGAGTCCTTTGTTCTGTCACATTTAATAATTTCATGCAATTCTTAATACCAACATCTCAGCAACTTTAAATATACATATTATGTTCATATAAAAAATCAATAAGAAGATCCTTCAAATCGTATTCTAATTAAACTTGAATCATCTGATTAATAAATTTCAATTAATCAAACTAAACTTAATTCCCAGTAAGCAGAGTTTATTTCGTTATTTTTTCGTTGTAACTCAGTTCCCAATAGTCCAAGTATTTCAGAGCACTGATATACTCCTTGTGTTAGGGCAGGAACGCGCCGGCCCGCCGCCAGCCGAACGCGATACCATATTTTTTTGGCTATAGGGCTGCCGCTTATTTATTACACAATTATTCAGACTGAATCGCCTTGAGAATAATTGGATATACCTTACTGTATAACAAGCATATGTTTATATATGGACTTAGATGAAAAAACGTAGGATTCAATATAGTTTGTTATGTATGTAATTAATATTCTTCAAAGACTTTTCTTTGGTATAAGTAATAATTATTTAGGTTTTGATTTCTAAGCTATATGTAAATATATTACACATTATATACAGTTAAAACAACCCTAATTTAATATAATTGATCGGACTTCGTGGAATAGCTATCACTTGTTAGTGTGTGTGTGTGTGTGTGTGTGTACGTGTTTGAGCCTGTGTGCGCCGCCGGTCCATTGTCAAGGCCAACTGCCAAATCTCCCGCTAGTCCCCCTCCCCCCACTTCCCCTGCCTCAATTATACGGATCCAGCCATTCACCGCCTATTTCTGATATTTAGAAAATCTCTTAAACCGCAGATGGGAGAAATTATATTTATTAGACGAAGCCGGGTCACTTAACATGTATGCATAATGTATATAACAAAGAAAACATTGCATTAATATAATACGTGACATGTTCGTGTAATATTTAATTTTTATAATTTAATTACTTCTTATCCTTACAGATTATTTATTATTACAGTTATTAAAGATACTTGACCGATAGATGATACGCTTATCTCGGAAACGGATTTTGGAATCATTAAATGCAGTTGCATTATACAATAATATTGCAATTAATGGAACGAAAAAAAGCATCAAATTTATTAAGCGATAAATCACATTAAATAGAGTTGGTAGAAAAAAAAACCTTTGTTAGACATAAAATTTACTGAACTTTTTTGTTTTTGTAATTAAGACAAAAAGACGAACATACATACACATACAAATATAATATTCACATTCGCAACATTTTCATAGATAATTTAATATTTCTCCATAACTCTTAAAGGATTGAACAAAATTTAAAAAATCCTGCCCTAATTCCCGAGATGCTAGCGTACAGACAGACATACACAAAGTACTATACATAACACGTAATTGGATCAAATTGAAACGCAATATAATAGCAACATAGTAAAAACAATAAACACATATCAAATACGTGATAATAGGTCAAGAGTACAAGCGAGAGACAGAGAGAATAAGTACTGATATAAGAGGGTGTATGTATGTTTGTGTCTCACTGAAATATACTAAACCAATTCTGATGAAACTTTCCTGTAAAAGCACTTCACTTGGCGTAGCGTATTCGTCGCATTTGTCCAAATATTTGTACGTAATCCAAATAGCGCAAACATGACATCCATACTTGGCATGCCAACAACACGTTTACGTGTTCTCGCTTATTTGTGTATGTGTCTTATTTGTGCAAATATGTCAAATTAAGACGAATACATCATCCACACATGGTCTTATTTGTCCGAACATAAAAAATAAATGCCAAGTGCCACCTTAATATAGCTTACACATAATTCTATATAGAGACGAAAACTCTTAACATTCAATGGATTCACGGTGCGTGTGTCGGGTCCATCGTTGTAGTGAGAGGAGCTTCAACAGTGACTGGGACTTGCGACCCAGGTGTAGGTTTAAGTTTTAGTATATATTGAAAAATACATGTATTTTATACTTTAGAGTTTAGTTACTAGGTTTTTTTTACCGTTATTTTCAAATTAAATTTCGAGGTCCATACAGACAAAGTCGGAGGCATACACATGTATGTAAAATAGCGGAAGATACATTTAATTAAGATATCTATAACGGCCCTGAGAATAATTGAATGACATTTATCATTAAATATTATAAACAAATAACATTGTGAATTATTTTATCATAGCTAGTATTCAGACCGCGGTTGTGCTCGAGATCTGTTCTGTATAAAAATTCTTTACGTATACATATATTATGTATAATTGTATAAAACAGTATAGTAGCTTTTATGTAAATGACAAACATACATGTATAATAGAATTTGCGATACTCATTTAGTTTGGAAAAAATATATCAATTCAAGTTCTACTTGATACTATACAAACAATATTATTTCTTAAAAATTTTCATATAACTTTGTTTTATATTTAATTCAATAAGGCGTGACGTCATACGTATAGTTATCACGTAGACGTAGACGACCGTAGAAGCTAGTCTACGAACATTCGCTACGAACATTAACTAGCAGTTGTTAAAAAGATACATTTAAATTAAACGATACGGTTAAATATAAGGCTGTCTACACATGGGAAATGAATATAAAGATTATATGTATTTCTTTAATGAAATTAAATTTCTATGTAATGGAATTATTCATGTTCCTTTCGTATGAAACCTTATGTGTGATAATTTTTTGTAAGGCGTTTAGACTAGACTTTATATATATATATATACCTATATATTAGTCAAAACATTTACTCTCTCAAAGATTCTAAAATTTCTCTAAATATTTTTATCATAGTTCATATATAACAAGTAGCGTTATGCAATAAAAAAAAATCGTGTGACACAGCTTAAATTAGCAGCATAGATAAAAATGCACTCAAGGTCACTCGTTTATTATCACACACACAAAAAAAAATGGAAACCCGATTAGGAAGATAAACTGAGCGAACAAAATTGTGACGACAGCTGGCGAAAAATTATTATATATATACAACATACAAAAAAAATACATATTAATTTCACGTCTATCAGAAAAGAGAGAGAAAAAATTTATAAATATACATGCAATGGGTTTTCATTAAACGGCCTTGAATACATGAACATTGGATGCATAAACATGTCCAACGTCCGTCTGAAGTCTGAATAGATAGAATGTTATAAAACCTTGGACGTACAGCCGCGACCATTGCGTGTATAGGCGCGACGTTGAAAAAAAAAAAACGCCGTTAGGAGGCTCAGCGCTAGACTACGAAATGGCTGACGATCGATCATGACCGGTTGAGGCAGGTCGGTTACGATTCGCACGTGTCGCACTAATAATTAACATTTATATAATAAAACATTGTTAAAACTATATAAAACTATAATAGAATCCTTTGTAAGGACTTCCGCGACCACGCACCGTACAGAATAGAGAACAGTCTGAAGACAATTTTCGGCAAGCGTTCCTAACCAATTGTTAACCACTTGAATATACTATAGCTATATAAGTTAATATAGGAACTAGTGCTGGAACGATATAAAACTTGTGACAAAAGAATGTTAGGAAACTTTTAAAAAACAATTATAGATTCAATAAACGAGAATTATTTCATGATTTTAATATCAATAAATTATGCTATAAAATATTTCTAATAAAATAATATTTATCAAGGAACAAGCGACAGCCTTGTTAAGTATATAAAACAGTTAATGATAACTTTTTTCGTTAGCAACATTAACCTATGTCATCTGATAATTTGTTAGGATAGGTCAAAACGAAAAACTCCGAATACGTATCAACCTTGACTGAATTAGCGTTCAGTATTGATAATACGTAATAAATAAAATATATAAAGCCGTACGCACCACATCGTCCATCTCCATCCAGTCCATGTCTGATTATATTATCTGTGTAATATTTTCGGGTGTATCAACACCGGCGTACTGCGCGTCGCGACGTCCGACACACGAGTGCAGCGTCGTGTCGTGTGTTGCACCGAAATTTCGTTACGGCCCGCCCTCCCCTCGCGGCCGACTGTACCAAATATTCGCAAAATTTTTCCGAATCGCACAACGCCATCTATGGGCGATAGGAAGCCCCCTTCCCCCCGGTGTGGCCTTGAACTTGACAACACATCGTTGCGACCCAGTTTCGCGCCGGGCCCGCTCCCCCCGCCGCCCCGCAGACCCCGCAGCCCCCGACCACTGTCACGGCCGCCTCGGCTGAATGGGAGCGAGTGCAATATAAAGAATATTTTCGCGCCACACGAATGCAACTCTCGTTTTTCATTGTATATTATTACATCACGCAATTGCGCAACTATTTACATACGCTTTATATTCTAAGTGATGCAGAGGATACCTTAAATCTTTTAGGACGGATTTATATTTTTTTTCTCACATTTTTCGACGTTTCCTGAAGTAGATTACAAATTATTTGAATACAGTTCTTTGTATTCTCTGTTCTTACAATTTTTATTACAGAAGTTTGTGTAATCATTGTCAAGAGCTTAATGCAAATATTAAGAAAGGAAACGTTTAACACAAAAAATAAATTTTAAAAATCTTTTTTTTTTTTTAGTAAAATTTATTGCTATTTGTATTCAAAGAAAATACTTTTTTACTAAATGAAAACCTTCATAGCAGTTTAAATATATAAAGCACACTGGATATAGATCACTTTTTTAAGCTTACTTCATGTCTTAGAGGAACTTTAGAAAAAACCTAAATTTCTATTGTTAATATAAAATTGGACAAATATTTCCGCTAGTATCTTATAATTTAGAAGCATAATATTTCACAATAATATGTATCGTATTTATCATCATTATTTGCCTTAAGATATATCAAAGTCAGAGTTCATATAATCTTGAAGCAAAGCTATACTTTATTAGTATCTACTAAACTTATGTTATACATTTTAAAGACATATTAATCTTAAACCTAATAAATTAAAAGTTTTTTTCCTAATAAGTAATAACTCATATTAAAATGTGTAAAGCAACTTAATTATTTTAATGCAATAAAAGAAACATTTAAAGAAATATGCACATAAAAAAAAAACCTTTTTTTAAATTAATTTGACAGTTGACAGCAATAACACCACAGAGTTTATATAGCATATAAACAGGTGTTTACATAGTATATAAATATAAGAACAAATTTTGTGTTTTATTATCTGTGGTAGAATGGCTACATTATTATTTTTTAATACAAAAACGAAACGATAGTATCATATATTACGCGAATTTCATTGTGATTTTGGCTGGGAAATGGATTGTGAAGGTTTTCATGTACATAATTAATTACTAGTTAAGTGGTTAGCAATAGACCATATTATTATATAATATTAGTAGGAGTAAAAACGTCAGTTCTGGTGGTTATCACAAGTGCAATGACTATAAATATAAAATGTAAGCTTAAAGGATAATATATGAATTTTTATATCTCATATGGACGTAATTATTAAACTTTTTAAGTGATAGTATTGACAAATTGGTCAATACTAATAAATTTCACATATACTATTTCATAGTTTCATTTAAATATGTACTGACCATAATTTTACATATTATATATTATTCAAATGAGAAAACACATTTAAACTATTGTATTAACTTGTAGTAATAACTGAGCAACTACAAACATAGCCCATAAAAAATATGCTAAAAATATCCACAGACTACCCAAAATATTAAACATTTTTTCTTAGATAATGTTCCATTGCTTCAGTCTTATTTGTATGCCAATAACATAGCATAGAAGTCTTCAAACGGTAACAAATGCAATATTGTCAGTTGTAAAACTGAATAAGTTACTGCCTACAAATCCTTTTCAAATAAATAAAGTACTTTATTAATTTTCATTAAAAATTTCCATACCTGCATCCAATATTAATCAAATTCATCAAAATTATATCATTATCAATGGTTATTCTACAATAAAATCAAAATAAAGACAATTTAATAAACAGCTAACAAAAAAATATATAGTGAAAAGAATTACCAATGGTTATATTGCAAACCAATTGCTGAGGAATTATTGATAAGAATTAAATATAATTTTAATACAAAAAAAATATAGCAATAACTTTTGTAAAGACATTTGCTATTTTTATCTGATTTTTTGTTAGAGTTAATGAATTTTAGAATAAAAACAAAAAAATAGCCCGAATGTTGTTAAAAGTGTAAAAAAAGATTATATGGGTATTGTAATACTGTGCATTAGTATTACAATATTATTTTATATTATTATTAGAACTATAATACCCACTGTGTACAGTTTGTAAAGTTGTGATGAGCTTTTGTCATCTTATTTTCATTCTTATAAATAAGACTTGATACAACTTACTTGTAAGTAACACAACTCTACTTAATAATTGAAATTATGAAACATTTATCTTTAACCAATTTCTAACTTATGTAAAATGTAGTAATAAATACATCTCTAAGAATTTTAATTAGTTTCTTGTGAACTAAATACGTTTTGCATATTTTAATTTGAGCAGTAAGTGTAAAGACAATTTAAATTGTATATCCTTACTAAAAAAATTCACTTCCTAAATTCCAATCAAATACACATAAGTATAAATTACTTGTTAAAATAAATCATGAATTCAAGAATTTTTTTATCAATTATTACATAACAGCAAATTTAACTTGTTTCATTTTCTTGCGAATAGCAATTTATAGTGTTTTATAAAACAGAATATATAATTTAAAGTAAGAGAAATGTTTTGTTTTTATCAAATTATATATAAAAGTGAAATCCAACCAACCTTATAATCGCTATGCAGGAATTAACACCATACTTGCAAGGCACTCTCATTTTGTAACAATTGTCCGAACAATGTTTCTGTGTCTGAAAACCAAAAAGTTTAACATTTTTGAGTTAGATTATATATATGAATGTTAAATATTCTACGAAAACAACCTTTCTATTTACAGTAATAGCTACTTCAAAAGTGCAATACCTAAATTCTCAGTTACTTTTCTATTGTCACCATTTTTTATACATTTTAGCTTCTTGAATTAATTATTTATTATCTGCTTGTAGTGTAAACTCTCTATTATTCTACTGCTAGCTAAAAGTACCAATTCACTTGTTCCACAAAAACCAAAGCTGATGTGACTATCAAAAGAAATGTTTAGAAAAACATATTTATTAAAGGAAAAACTTTAGAAATAACACGTAAGATAAATCTATAAAAGATATAATTCTGTGTTTTACTTGTATAAATAAAAAGATTCATAAATGTGCTAAAATAGAATTCGTAATTCTGCTAAATGTAAATCATGCAAAAGATTATCCAACTTATTATGTAAACACAAACACTTGTTGTAATAGAATAAAAACGTACCTTGTTTATGTACCTGTTTGAAACAATTATAAAAATACCGAAGATCGACACCGTGTTAAATTGAACTATTTTTATTTTATAAAATAATTCAATAAACGTCTCAACGACTATCAACTTGAAAGTTTTAAAAGTTATTTTACCTACAAAGGATTGAATAGCTCACAATTTTTTTACGTGACGCAAAAAAGAAAATCAAGGAAATTACGACAATTTTAAAAGAAAAATAATGTTTTTATTCTCATTACCAAACAAGGTTAGAAAATTGACAGTTCATTTATGTGCAACAGGAATGACAATTGCAAGTGCAAGTGCAAATTCCAGAAATAATTGCATTAAAGTCTGATAAGAACGTAATACTAATATATTTTTTGTATTATAGTTTTAAACTATCAATTGAAATGATATATGGGTGAAAACAAAGTATTTTATTTTTTTCAGAAACAAGTCATTTAGAAAAATCGTCATATAGAGAACCTCTTGAATAGAATTGTCTTAAGCAAAAAAAAACTGATACATTTTAAAATATAAAAATTTATGCCTTAAGAAGAATAAGGAAATATATTGATAAAATAAAAACAAAAGATCATTAAGACAATAATAAAAGATCTACCACAATAAGTTGTGTTAAATAGTGTTGTCTTACTGATAATTTATATAAAATGTAAGAAGTTTAAAATATTTTTATATAAATAACATATGTACATAATCCTTATGAATAAAATAGAAACTATACCAGACTAGGAATGACATCTCAGTAAAAGGATGCGTAAAAATCTGATGGACATGTTTACAAAATTTAAACTTTTAAAAAAGCAAATAATACAAATATCAAGTAAACTTTTTCACTTTTTAAAACACTCGACTAGTTTTGATTTGGTAATCAGAATTTTAAATAAGAATGATTATATTGAAAATTAATGTTTTAAGTAAATTTTATCTTCGTTGTTATATTTATTGCGTCGCTAGTACACAGTTTTCCATAAAGACACTTGATTTTTTATGGCAACACCACTGTAACTTTTTCAGAAGCACAGCGCCGACGTTTCTAATTTTTCGGGCCAACTCATCGGTTCTTTGACACAGAATAATATGTTTGTTTTTACATCGAGAAGTAATGATTTCTGACTAACTACTAATTAATTAATATATAAAGGAGAACAATTAAAAATGGAGGTCCAATATCTCTTTCTTTTACTATGTGTATTTTGGAACGGTTGCGATGCTATAATGTGGAGTTTAGCACCAAACACACAAAAGTGTTTAAAAGAGGAACTACACGCTAATGTGCTTGTAGCTGGTGAATATGAGGTTACCGAAGCTGCTGGACAACGAATTGATTACATTGTAAGTTTATTGTAATATGGACTTACAAATTATAACACATTAGTTTAATACCGCATCTAAACTGCAGTGATAAACAAATATAACCATATTTTCCGGCTTTCTAATTTTGAACGGTTTTTCTATTTGTTATTCTATTATAACTCATCAATGAATGTAACTGTGTGTAAGTGTAGGGTATCTCAAAATGTTCAGTATAAAGTATTGAAATTATTCTGAATTAAAGGCATTTTTAACATTATATATATTTGGGCATGTAATATATAAGGTTTTATTCAATATAAGAGTAAATTTTGTATACCCTCCCACTGATTTTTACATATGATTGACTTAAGGTGTATAAGTATATATGATTGTAATTTTTATAATTTCAAATCTGTTTTTTAACAGGTCCGTGACTCAAAAGGTCATATACTTGCACAAAAAGATGGCATCACCAAAGGAAAATTCACTTTTGTAACAGAAACATATGATACATTTGAAGTTTGTTTCATATCAAAAGTGCCTCAAGGTATGATAATATGATGAACAGCTAAAATATTCAAAACACCATTATTTCCAATAAGCACTGCTATAATTTTTATAAATATGTTTATGCATTCAGCAACTTGTGTGAGGATTTGTGTTACCCAAAAATGATATTAACACATACTTAATAATTGAATTATCAATTTAAAACAACTAATCCTTAGATTTTAATGAAGATAACTCATTAAATATATTTTCCCTCCATCTTGTTACAAAGATTAATATTGAAAATAATTTTAAATCTGTTTAAATCAACAGAACGTCGCGGTGTTGCCCAAGAAGTGTCATTGGACATCAAAGTTGGTATTGAAGCAAAGAACTATGAAGGCGTAAGTATATCAAAAAAATATATAAAATTATTAAAAAAATAACTTATATTCTTTACACCAATGTAATATATGTATGTAAAAATTCATATATTTATTTCTTTTTATCGGTCAATCTTCTATACTCTACACCTGCCAGAATCCTTGGGTAATATTGTGTGGGCTTGCAAACTGTAATCTTATTAAATCAAGTTCATTTGCCATTTCATTCATAATATTATTCCTGCTCCATATAATTGTCTTATATACAGTTTTTACTAACTTTAAATTAACTTCTACTTGAATATCCCTTTATTATAATTAATATAGAATATCTTGTGCAAGATAAAAAAGTTTTTGTTTTGATATATGCATCAATACTATGTGTACTAAATATAAATGGACCTCATAACATTCTACCGACGAAGTAACTTACCTTTCAGCATGTATCAGTTTGTTGAGTTCAATTTAATTGTTGTGAATTGCAATTAACATATAATTTGTAAACAGATTGGAGAAGCGGCGAAATTAAAACCGATGGAACTCGAGTTGAAGAGATTAGAAGATTTATCAGAAGCTATTGTACAGGACTTCACTCTTATGAGGAAGAGGGAGGAGGAAATGAGAGATACTAATGGTATGATTATATTTACTTATTAAGTCACTTACAAGCAATACTTAACATTTGATATATCATCGGGGATAATGCAAATCCGCGTAACTACCATTGGATAATTCCGCGTACATACATTGGTAGCAGATTATCAGAAGAAAGTTTGAGCTGAAATATTTTCTAAATTAACGACTGTTAAGGTGATTTTTTCACAATTAGTAATAAATTAAAAATTAAATAATTACTAATTGATAAAAAATTACCTTAAAAGTCGTTAATTTAGAAAATATTACACCTTAAACTTTCTTCTGACTGTTTGCTAACATTGTAGATACGCGGAATTATCCAATGGTAGTTACGCGGATTTGCATTATCCCCGATAATATGTACTTTCTTATTTTCCTCTATAAAGTCATATTTTGCATTTTTTAAACTTAATACTTTATAAATCGCTATTTATTCCAAACTGACCTATGATCTCATTCTGTTTCAGAGTCAACAAACAATCGTGTGCTATTTTTCAGTATATTTTCAATGGTCTGCCTCTTGGGTTTGGCCACATGGCAAGTATTGTATCTACGTAGGTACTTCAAAGCCAAAAAACTTATTGAATAACCTTTTTATATATTTATTAAAAGATATAATCACACTGGGTCTATCAAATTAATTCTAAGTTCAGGTTGCAGTTTATGTTATAGGCACAAGCTTTTTAATTGTCAAGATTACTTGAACACACCCAATTCTCAGAGAAAAATTGTATTTTACCATTTTATAAGATTTGTGGCTTCTTCTATTATTCACAGTATGAAGTTTTAATAATTTAAATATTAAATAGTTAAAGCTCAGTGTGATTATATTGTTGCTTGGATCTCGTGGCGCAAGTCACGGTTTTTTTAATAAAATAAAACAATTTCCTTTACTTAACAAATTTATTTAAATATGTTTGTTGTATGTATATGATTGATATCTTGTCGCTAAGGATGTAAAGAGATTTATTAAAGTCCTACTGTTTTATTTCTTAACACCCTATTTTTGTATATATACTTTTTAAAGAAACAAGTATTAAATATCAATGTTTTTCTGACCTTAAAATAAATGTGACTATTTATGTTGTGACGAGTTTCATAAAAATTATTTGAGACTGGAACAAATTTAAAGCAACACATATCTATGGTAATTGTCACATTGTATTAAAAAAAATGTCCAAATTTATAACTTTAAAAATAATATTCAGAGGTAACTTAAGTTTGTAAAATGGAATGCGTATTATACAGTATGTTCATATTTTTTAATTTACCGGATTCATAATTAAAATAATAAAAATAAGATTTATAAAACAAAGTAAAAATATATTTATACATAAAATAATTTCGAAATAAATTGTAGATATTAAATACCAAGTAATACTTATATTAATTAAATTGTTTTCTATTGAAATATAAATGTAATTGCACAGTTGTAAAAAATTTAAATAAAATGCTTATCGGCAAAACTGATTCCGCAAAATCAATTTTATATGACACAGCACACAATTTGCATCACATCTACTATGTACTGTTAGTTTTAAATAAATAGATCATTCACAACACACCCATTTTTGTGAAACTTCATCTAAGACATTAAAGAAACATCTCAGGCAGATTTATTATAGCACTTACAGGTTTGCACAGGATTACTTATATACAATATATTAATGTTCACTCCTTGGGAATATGTACATTTTGTTATATTCAAGTCCTTATCATAGCGGGGAGTAGTCCAGTTGAACTGTTAGATGTTTGACGCCAGCCTCTCTGAAGATTCTGGCTGCCTGGTCTGTGATGTACCGTGGGTCCACCTCCTTCGCCACTTCCAACTTCAAAACACCAACGTGAACATCACTACATAAGGTCCAGAAATGTGGATCCTGTACAGCATGAACTCCAGCAAGACCGACGACTCTCGTGTACAAATTGGGTAGGGCTCGTTCGAGCGACTCGGGAGTCCGTTGCATAAGAACAGCACCGGAGTCAAACACTAACGGGAACACACTCGCGGCTATGAGCAGCGCTATCGCCATTGAACATATGGGATCAGCACGCATCCAGCCGAACATCTGCATTAAAATAGCAGAAATTATTACACCCACGGAACCCAGGGTGTCTGCGAGGACGTGGAGGAATACTCCACGCATTATAGCGGAACCGGCTCCCGTCGGAGCTTCGATGTCGTCATGCGAATGTCCGTGGTTGTGGTTATGCGAATGCCCGTGGCCACCATGCGAATGACCATGGCCACCGTGGCCGTGTCCATGCCCGTGATGAAAGGCATATATACCGATTAGATTGACAAGGAAACCCAATACGGACACCACGAGCAGACGTTCATGTTTCACCTAAAAAAAAATTTACGTCATTATAATGCAATGGGAGAAAAAAGACAATAAGTACGTGCTCCGACGTATATTGAGAAACGTCTATTCAACATTTTGTAGAGTAGAAAGTTTTACAAACGTTGCGGCACGTTAAATAATTTTCTGCCTATTTAGTGTTTTTGAAATTTCTGCATATTATTAAGCGTACCTAACTGATGAATTCTCCATCTATCAATGATGATTAATATTTTTCAAAAAAATATATAGTACTATTGGTTTTTATCAAATCTGTCTGTTTTAGAAATTACATTTTTATATAATTTCAATTTTAAACGAAAATCGCCGCTAATTGCTACAAAATATATCCAAAAAATAATATTAGTTTTCAAAAAAGTTAAATCTATAACATGAAATTCACTTCATGTAATTTCAATTTATGACATAAATAATGATAGGGCATGCTCTGCTGTGTTGCAATATATCTTATCATATAGTAGAGGATCTGTACTGAAATCGTCTTTCACTGAATTACCAGACAAAAATTATGTTTTAGAAAACAAGATCATTTCTAAATATGTTTAGATTATGTGGACAACGATTTTAGTATGGATATTAGACTAAAAGATTTATAGTAAGCACGAGTTTCATAATAACAAAAAATTAAAAATGTATTGTTAGTTACCAATTTAAGGCATGGTTGGTATATCAAAGGTAAAAATTGTTGTTTATGAATCATTATTTAAAAAAAAAACCTACAAGAAATTAGTTTGTTCCAATATTATCAATGAAACATTGAATTTTAATTACTTAACTATGTATAAGTAGTAAACATTTTCTGTAATAAGGTTTTAAAAACATAGGTATTAAACAACTACCACTTGTTCAACCAAAATGTAGAATATTAAGATCTACATCAATTAAAAATTAACACAGGAAAAACCGTATGACTCAACAGTTAAGTAGATTAAAAAAATATTACCTCTGGGGGTTCAATGGCCCTTTCAACGGCTTCTTTTAATATGAAAAATGAAATAAACAAAAGAAACAGTCCATTGACAAAGCCGGCAAGCACTTCAGCTCTCGCATAGCCATATGAGTAGCGTTCATTGGCTCGCCATTTGGATACTAATGATGCAGCAAGTCCGGCCACCAGACCAGTGCAATCAAAGAACATATGGAATGCATCAGAAATCAAACCTGCAAATGAGAAAGATCATAAATAATACATATAAATATTTAATTATAAGAATATTATTAACATATGCAAGAGAACGTATCTGTAATAATTAAAAATGAAAAATATTATTCAAATTATTGAGTTGAATGGGTCAGTAGCATTTACTTTTATTTAGTGAAGACTAAAAGCTTTAAAATAAAATTAATAAAAGAAAATAAACTTACCCAAACTGTTCGACCATACACCATAAAACAACTCCACAAATGCAAAAGATAAGTTAAGTAATAGAAACAGAAACAAATTCTTTGAATTTTTATCTGCGAATATTAGTCGAAGCCAATTTTGAAATTTTTCACGAAGTCCACCCACAGAACCTCGCGAGACCCTAGTGTCTTTTTGAGTAAGGGGAAGCATTTTATTAATATAATAAGTAATTGTATGCTTCACGTCATTTCAGACTTAAAATCAAAAGAAAAACGATTTACTGCATACGTGTTCACTCACTAGCGGTCTATAACCTTATATGTAAATGGTTTTATCGAAACTGGGAGATATTATATGTAAGATAATGGTTTAAGAAATACATGCTTTATTTAAAGAGAAAAAACATGTTCTATTTACAGTAATCGAGAGAAAAATTAATATCTAAGTCTCAAGACGACCTGTCATATTTTGCTGTCGTCAATCGAGGTCTGTCATTTTATGATAGTGTCGAGTGTAGACCTTAGACGAACTATCAAGACTTTAAAACATAATTTCGATTATTAAATATAGGTTAAGATACTTAAAATCAAGTAGAAATAATTTAAGATGTGAATATTTTCAATTTCATTAAATATTTTGTTGTTAGTAGATTTTTAGAATTACATCACACATTATATTTATTAAAATACATTTATCAACAGTGTACAAAAAATTATAATTCTTATTCTTATTTTAAAAAAACTTGTTTATGGATGTGCCGCAAAAATTAATAACAATTTGGACTGTATTAATTGGTGAAAATTACATACAAAGGTCAACTGACCAATCAAACTGTTTCACAATTCTCCTAAGTTGTAAACGAAAAAACATTTTCGATGATTCATAGCGTTTAAACTGACACTCGTTTCCGGAAAGATAAACATATTGTCTATGTTATTTAACAAACATTGGTTATGGTGTATAGAATCTTGTGGATTTATAAATTATCTTAGGGTTTGATAGAATAAGTTTATGTGATTTAAAAAGCTATAGTTGTAATAATTAGTGATATAGAATAGTTCTTGTAACTTTAATCTTTTATTTACCGTGGTTCTTATTTTTCCCTCCAAATATTTAAAAAAATTCTACCGGAAATTCATCTATAGATGCGTTTGTTTCCGAAAAGTGAACGTTTCACGAGTCAACAGCAACGTCTTTCGAGAAGTTCTAGGCGCTGTTTTGCGACATTTTTCTTTCTTTTACCCGTCATCCAATGTTTAATGTGATGAAATAACACGTTAAATAGCGAGTATTTTTGATATTAGTGTTCATAGTCGTAATAAAATAACTACTAGATTACGATATAAGCTAATATGGGCGACGAAAGCCACCCGAAAACTCTCTACGTCGGTAATTTAGACGCGAGTGTGACAGAAGAATTTCTATGCGCGTTATTCGGCCAAATAGGTGAAGTTAAAGGCTGTAAAATAATACGTGAACCAGGTAATGATCCGTATGCTTTCCTTGAGTTTACAAATCACGCGTCGGCGGCTACGGCCCTGGCCGCCATGAACAGGCGAGTATTTCTCGACAAGGAAATGAAGGTTAACTGGGCTACGAGTCCTGGTAATCAGCCTAAAACGGATACAAGCAATCACCATCACATATTCGTTGGTGATCTATCACCAGAAATAGAAACTCATATTCTACGTGAAGCTTTTGCTCCGTTTGGGGAGATTTCGAACTGTCGAATAGTACGTGACCCACAAACGCTCAAATCTAAGGGTTATGCCTTCGTTTCGTTTGTTAAAAAAGCAGATGCTGAAGCGGCAATACAGGCTATGAATGGACAATGGTTAGGGTCGCGATCCATACGTACTAATTGGTCAACGCGTAAGCCACCAACCAAAGGTCCAAACGAAGGAGCACCCAGTAGCAAACGTGTAAAACAACCGACATTTGATGAAGTCTACAACCAGAGCTCACCGACGAACACCACAGTATACTGCGGCGGTTTCACTAGTAATGTAATTACAGAAGAATTAATGCAAAGCACATTTTCACAATTCGGCCAGATCCAGGACGTAAGAGTGTTCAGGGATAAGGGATATGCTTTTATTAGGTTCACAACTAAAGAGGCCGCTGCTCATGCTATAGAGGCGACACATAATACGGAAATTAGTGGACACACAGTGAAGTGTTTCTGGGGTAAAGAGAACGGAGGGACAGAGAACCAGGTGAATTTATATCTTGATATAGATGATGATAACATAACAATCTGTTACTTAATGTAAATATTTTCAGAGCACCACAAATCCACCGGCCGCACCTGCATCGATGGGTGCACAAACACAATATCCCTATGCATACCAACAAGGAATGGGTTACTGGTACACTCAGGTAAATATCAAAAGGGAAAGTTTTACATCACCGCCACAGGTAAAACATATATGTTTACCCATCGCTTTAAACAGATGTTTTTAAACGGATTTCCTGTGATTGTCAAACAGGATTAAACTTTAGAGGTTTCTTATTATCTATAATAGAGACATATTGAAAAGTTTTAAATATAATATATATGCTAATTATTACAGTAGCTGACAAAAGTTTTGTGTATCAAACAATACTGGCACTTGTGTAAACAGATTTAATGTTATGCACAAAATACTAATTACCCATTGAAATATATATGAAATAATACCGGCATACCAATATATGTAGAATTCAAATTATAATATTTACTAAATACATTATTTTATATGAGATTAATTAAATATTATTTAACAATTAAATATGTGTAATTTAAATAAGTTTTGAAGTATTTATCATGTTTTTAAGATGAATCAGTGTCTAAATAGATACAATAATAAAAGCATAATATTTGATATCATTATTGTAACAGAAGGAAGATTGGTAGGTCATTATTTCAAGGTCATAATACAGAAATTCCATAAGTTTTTCTTGTTTATACACAAATATTTGACAAATTATAAATCTATATCTTATTGCATTGTGTATATTGTTTAAAAAATAATAATAACATGAATCTACTAAAGTATTATATACAGTTATACTATGAAGACAAATAAAATATTTTATTATACATGCAAATAAAACTTCTACATATGAATTTTGTGCTTTCACAAAATGTTTGACATATGTAAATCTCAACTCAAATATAGTTTATATTTAAAAGAAAGTCATTAAAGTTGATTTATTAAAAGAAATAATTATATAGACTTAAATTTTTTTTTTGTATTATTGTTACTAGTAATGTATTAAAGTAAGTTTAGTATAGTAGAATATCATATGTATATAATATAGTAATGGTAGCTATACATTTCCAGGGTTATCCTGCCATCCAGGGTTACATGGCGCCGGGATATTATCAGCAGTACGCTGCAGCATACAGCAACCCTCAAGCCGCTGCCGCGGGTTAGACAAATAATATATTATTAAACATACATATAGATTAAGTACTCTTTACTATGTGTTTCTATTATCAAACTAAACAAAATCTCCAGTTGTACTAATAATAGTAAAGTACTTAGTCATATAAAAATCTTTGCACGTAATAGTGCTATTATGTTCAAAAATTTTTGGTTGACTGACTTTTTGCTGTTTATTTTGTTGATGAAACATATAGTAGGGGCTTTGATCACTTAAATATATGGTGAAATTCAGAGTGGGGTGACTTACAGTTATGTTTTTATATTGAATGTAGGCCAAAGAATTAATAAGCAAAAGAAAGTTTAAATCACCTTATTGTAATTTAAAAATAGTTTGCTTGTACAGACATAAATATTTATTAAAAATAACCCTTAAATTTTTACAAGAGTTATTTTTGAACATCTTATTTTGACACACTTATAAAATTGTGTCTAAAATAATGTAAGATGAATGCTTTATTGTAGTATAGATAAGATAATAAATAGCAAACACTGAGAGACATCCAGGCCACTGATTGAACGACGCCATTTTACGTTCCTAAACTTAAACATTAAGGGTTAATATTTTTAATGTTAAACAAATGTTAAATGTTATAAATGAACATATGTAGATATTAATTTGAACAATTGTGTATCTTCTAAAATTCGTTTTCTATAATTTTCCCTCATAGTCGTTATCAGTTCACAACTACAACATTTATCAATATTTTATTTTGTTACAGGAAGTATAATTTAGTTTCACATTTGTTATTTGTTTGACTTTAGATTTAACAATTTACATTTTTTACCTCAAATGACGTGATCTTTAATTATTTGTTTTATATAATCCACTAAAACAGTATATGTATGAAGCAAGGATGGGGGGTTTAGTTTTAAATATTCTACATATAGTGCAATGAGTGTCTTTTATTCAGTATGTAATGTGTGTGTGTATGTTTCAGCGGGATACCGTATGAGCATGCCGGGCGGCGCGGTGGGTGCGGTGGGCGCGGGCGGCTCGTGGGGTGGCGCGCCTCAGCCTCTCGTGTACTCGGTGCCTTCGCAGTACCCCTCTCAGTAGCGCCGCCTCGTGCTGATGAAATATCCCTGCTACCGGCTCGTCATGGACACCCTCGTTGATAGTTTATATGGGCCCGGGCTCGTGTCAGTGATATTTCAGTACCGACCGGCGCCGCGCGTCCCCCGCACGTTTTTATATGTTTGTATTACCTCGGGCGAGGGACGCGCGACCCCGCCACCGCTAGATATTATCGCGCAGCACAAAGAATGTTAATTCGGTTGATTTGTGAGAGTCTTACATCTTTGTATATGTAATTTAACAGCCTTATTGACTGCCTTTAGACAATTATGGTACAAGAAATAACTTATACAGCGAAATACGTTTGTTACTATAAAGGAAGTACTGAATGTATAGGTGATACATACATTTGTACCCGAGTATATTTCGTCCAGTACAGTATATCCGGTATATTTGACTTGGTATTGATTGCCAAAAACCTCAGATGTCGGAGGCGGCGAGCTCGCCGGCCGCCGTCCGGCAGTCGATCTACACACATAGATAGGACATAACGAAATAAATTATAATTTTTTAAAAAAAGTTATGATTATATATGAGGGGGAGTAGCGTCGCTACTGTGGCTCGAGGCTCGTGGCTCGTGTACATAGGTCGTTATATTTATTTCGGACTGAGCCTGTGTTTGTTGCTCCACAGTCCACCGGCGGCGCGCCAGACCGTTGACGTGTTATATTAAGTTCGGCACATGTTGTTTTGTTTGACCTGAATTGTTATGATTTATTGTATGGAAACACTGGTGAGTCAATAAAGCAGTGGGTCTGGGACACCGGGTGTTTGATTTTGATTATATACTGTATCGTGTTTATTTCTGGGTCCAAAATTGAACGGCAGTTCTGTTCTGTGATTGATGGTTGAATACAGACGGTCGATGAGAAATTATTGTAAATTCTTAAATGAGAAAAATAAATAGTTTAAGTTTAATAACACTTTTGATTTTTGTTGTTTGTTTATTGATGTCGCTACCTGTGTCGCTCCCGGACCATTTGACTTGGATGATTAATAAACACGAACTGTAAAGCAAATATATTTTGTACATAGACAATAGCCTTTTGCTATACCTTCCTACCTCTACAGTCTACAACAATATAGATATATCACATTTTAAATATTATAAGCAAATTATTTTCTTATTTGTAGTGAATATTTAATATACTCAGACACTTTAAGAAATTTGTATCTGTCATTTTTAAAATCTATCTTTTGAAAAATCTTATTTGGTACTTAGTTTAAAATAATTTCAGTATCGTTAAAATGTATAAAAGGAAAACCTTAACTGCAGTAGATTCTTAAAAGTATTTTTATTATAAATATTCATTAATATAGTATATTTTCTGTCTAACCATATGATTGTTAAAAAGTATCTTATAGATGTTAAAGAGGAATTTGTGGAGATTGCCACCCTATCTCACGGTTGTCTGTTTTAAGAAAAGATTAAGAATAAAACTAAAAATCCAGTTAAAAAAAATTCTTGATGAAAATATTAAAACATGGTTTTATGTACCTAAATAGAATTTTCACTTTAATTTTTGTAGCTTGTTGCCTTAGAATAAAAAAGTTAAAATTTCAGTACAAATTCAATGCTAATAGCAGATACCTTTGTCATTTGTGACAAGAAATATTTACAATACCATATCATGTACTACATATTTACTTATCAATGTCATTACAACTTTTCAAGACCATAAACAAAAGATTTAGTTCAAAATCCGTATTAAGTTATTGGTAGACTCCAGATCCGCAGTTAAAGTTTCTGACAAAATATGTTATTTCATAACAACTAGTGAAGTAAAATAAATAATATTTATTAACTATTAAGTGCCTTGCTTAATCATCAGGAATATAATTCCGTTATTTTTAAAATTATATGTGTATTGTAATTTCACATTACTATCGAATTTATAATGTTATTAGTGCTATATGAAGTAAATAAAATACATATATTATTTGAAATTTTGCCTAAAATTGTATGCCAGATCAAAGTTAGGTACATCACATATTTGATGTAGTATGCACTATGTATACAGTGGAAAATGCAAACTCCCTACAGCTAAACTATAATTATGAATATTGTACGATTCACAAATCGATTAACAAACCTGTGGTAAGTACCCATATTTATTTTTTTGTTTTAGTGATATTTTTTTACAATATTCGACATTAGTAAATAAAATTCAATAGAAACTAAATTTTGACATTAAAAATTGAAATCATAATTCAAATGTCAAAATAACACTTAAATTTTAATAATACTTAAAAATTTAAAGAAATTATCCTTTGTCCAAAATATATATCGCAATTTACCGTTATAATGAAATGTTTGTTTTTTAAATTTGTAAGCTAGTTAATAATCTGTTAAGTATATATGTATGTATATTGATAACTTAATGGCTAATTGTGATTACTGTCATTTTAATGAATTCGAAGAACCATTTTTAGTTTATACTTGGCTCGATAAAGTATTATATTGTATTAAAATATTGAAAAGGTCACGTTTAATTGAATTTTCCTTAAAAGAAGAAATCATGCCACTGAAGAAAGATTTCTTTCCGCTTCGGCCTCTTGATTTTTTCCTGACCATCTAGGCGTTACGTCTGAATTAAACAATCTGACTGTAAATCTTTGGTCATTTTCATGCTAATCGTTTAAATTATATGACCATAAAGCTTTTTTCAATACCTTGTGAAGAACTTGTTTGTCCTCAATTCACTTTCATAAATTCTTTCATTTTTTTATGAGAGAACTGACAAACGAGCAGATGGTCTACTTGATGGGCAGTAGTCACTGTCTCCCATAGACATTCCTTATATTTCTGATGCGTTGCCAACTTTGGTTGTTGAAGAAAAGGGAAGAGTGGGAATAAGGTAATGACAGAAAGGGTAGGAATAGGGAAAGGGCAACCGGCTTTCACTCATTGGAAAAAACGCAGCCGTTACAGTCTACTTCATTTCGATATTCTGTGAGAGGGTGGTACTTCCCCGGTCAAAAAGCTTATGTTGGACCTGTAGTTACATATTTTATCCTAGCTAGGCTCTACGATCTCCAAATTGGTATCCATCTAACTCCTAGTTGTAAATTTACTTCCCGACTACCGTATTAAGAAAGATGGTTATGAATATTTAATCACCGTTGCAAAATTATAACAGTTATAATTTTATTTATAAATATTACTATTATTTTAAAGAGGCATTCAATTAACTCTTACTGTGAGGACGTGCTGGAATTAATAGATAATTATATTTTTTAATGCTTTAAACATAATATGTCTTGAGATTTAATTGGTATTGTCTGAATAATAGGTATATTTTGAAGATATAGGATTATACTGATTGACCGTTATGCAGATTATGCTAATGCATACATATACTTACCCCGGCCGAGACATCAGCAAGGGAACATGTGGAATAGAAGAGATTTAAGCTTGTATTTTAAATTATGACGTCTTTAGAACAAGTCTGTGTATAGGGTAAAACGAACTTGAGTTGAATTTAATCTTAAGAAGACTGTGAATTTAGTGATAAAATTATTGTAACAACAATATCCTACACGTTACATACCCTAAATATCCATGTATAGATTTGGAATGTGAAGAGTGGAAAGTCAAGCTTTATTTACTAGTCTCAAAAAACTGGGCGTAGTGAGAAGAGTGAAATATAATAATATTTTTAAAATATTATTATTTTTTTTAGAACGTCGTAAAAATCTCTATTTCTACAAATCATTTCAACAAATATACCCTGCCTCCGCTCTGACTTGGAAATATATTTAAAACACTCGTATCTCGAAGTTTTTCATATTGATTCACGACGTATAAATAGACTTATTTTCATTAATTCATGGTCTAACATTGCATTCTCATGTAATTATGATTATCCTTAACCCATTTGTGACATCACTATTTTCTTATAATAGTAGCGTATAGTTTGGGCGAAATGACGTGAAAATTGCAATGACAGTGATCTATAAATAAGGTCGGCGTCGCGCGACCGCCAGCGTCCCAAGCACCTTAGTCGAGGACCGACCGTCGCGAGTTTCACACGAACGAACACAAGCAGCAACCATGGTTTACGAAAGTGACTTTTACACAACCCGCCGGCCCTACAGGCCCGTCTCCAGTTACAGCGTGTCGGTGAGTTTGCCGCCTTTTAACACCCACTGAGCGTGAACCTCGCTCCAATCTATAACTCCCGGGAGCCGGACGCCCTCGCACCAAGTCGACCGTCGTATTCCCCTTCGTCATCTGGTATCGAGTTTCCGATGTAGTGGTGGCATATAAGTCGCTTTCCCCCCAATGTTGATACATCGATACGACTAGCGCTTTAAAAATATTGCTTTTTAAGTAAGTCCAGCCGCAGCGAGCCTCGTTTATTAGTGTAGGGTTCGTTAGTACGTCCCGCTAGCGTTCCGCAAATGGGTCATCGGATCGAGAGCCGGGTATCAGAGAGTGGAGCTCACCGAGCGCGCCAAATATAGCCGCGGCTGGAGTCGGCGTCCGCCCGACTAACGGCGACTTCTCCGCTTGCAGCGGCCGGGCGACTGGGAGCTGGTGCCGTTCGTGCCGCGCCCGAGCCTGGTGCCCGACCCCATCACGGCGTTCGGCCGCCGCGCCAACCCCGGAGCGAGGCCTTCCATACTCGACCCCGTAGTCCGACAGAACATACCGCCCAAGCCCGAGTCGAAGCTGGCCCCGCTCGCGCCCTACGTGTCTCCTCGGGACCAGACGAGAGCGCGCGTGCTGTCAGCTGTGGGCCAACGGGAGCGCGCCTACGAGGCGGACCCGCTCGGGACCCCGCGCGACCATATGGACGTGGTGCTGGCTCAGGCGCACGGGCGGCCGCTACACACGCCTCATCGACACGTCTTCTACAGCAACTACGCCTCATATTGATATCTGTTCCGTTTGTTTTGTTTGTGTCGCTTTCGCTAGTCGGGTAGGTCGGGTGTGTGCGAGGGTGGTCGGCGGGAGGCGTGCTAAGGGCGCGGTTGTTGCAGACGCCGCGGCACTACGTGGTGGTGGACCGCGACCTGGCCCCTCGGCGCGCGGAGGAGCAGTACTCGTACTCGTACTCGAGCACGTCGGAGCGGTCGACGGGCAGCGGCCTGCCTCAGCGCAGCTCCTACAGCAACACGGTGGAGCGTCGCTCGGGCTCCGGCCCCGGCGGGTACTCGTACTCCAGCGAGCGCTCCAGCAACCTCGGCGGGCCCGGCGGGTACTCCTACTCGTCGACCACGAGCGGTCGCTTGCCCTACGGCACCACCTACCGCCACTACTCATACCGCGTGTAGCGCCCCGGCTCCCGACGTCCCGACCTCGCCCCTCCTCTGTCCCTTCGCCCCTAACCCACTCCTTCTCATCCGACTTAATCAGTATTCGCTAACGCAATGTGATCGCACTACTTAATTTATTGTTATAAGTGGAAGTGTATCTTTAGCTTTTGGTGTTTTATTGTTTTTTAGGACAAATTTAAAACCATGTTCAAAAAATATTTATTTAGACTGACTTTTTCTTTAAATAAAGCTTGCATTTTTAATAAATCTACTTTCCTTTCTATCCTACAAATATCGATGATGAGCTCGGTATTTTTATTAACTAACATTTGGTTTGTTTACTTTATAAATCATATTGATACTTTATCAATAGGTTGATATTTATTCCGAGGAATTTTGTTACTTCATTAAGAATGAAATCAACATAATAATCGGTTTACAAAATCGGTGAACAATAGGAATTATTGAGGTATAATTTTTTTCTTTATCACCGTCTAAGATAATAAAAAAACTTCTAAGATAATAAAAAATACTTTTCAAAATTACTATTTCAAAACACTCATAAACTTATTTAAAATCCCTAATGTATTTAACTGTACTTTAATGAATGGGAAACAAATATATTATTTGTATCAAACCATAGGCAAACTATACACAATTTTATGTTTAAAATATTGTCAAGTTACCACATAGAGTAATAATATTAAATTATCAGGTTTTAAAAATAAGTTTTATTGACAAAATAAACATTACAAATATGAACATAATTCTTTTTTATTACAATACACTTTCCGTAACGGTCAAAAGGAAAAGTCAATCAACATATCATATCAGAAGATCTAATCTTCCAAGGTTATTTAAGTTTCCGTTCCCTGTTTTCATTGACGCCGCCTACAACAGCCGCTGACGTCTGTGTACTACCTCACGTCATTTGAACCGTTATACAATTCCCCGTACGTCACTTACATACCCAAGCTGTCACAGGTAAGTCAGGTAAAGATGTACAGCACCGCTTACCACAAGTATCCATCGCTACAGAACGCACAGCACAATCAAAGGCTTTGAACGCTAATTGTATCATAGAATTTCTGACATACATACATTTTTAATGAATGATTTGTAAATATGCAACGGTTTTTCCATTTTTCTTGTCCATAGACTAAGGTTTCATTGCAGTCTGGCTAAAAGTATCACTCATCGCTAAATAGTGCTATTTTTGGTATTGGAAAAGATTGAACGTATGTTATAAAATTTTTACTAATTTATTTATAATGAAACTTGTATAAAGATGTTACCTACAAAATATTATGCAATCTTCTATATATATAAAAATGGATTGCTGTTCCTTAGTCTCGCTAAAACTCGAGAACGGCTGAACCGATTTGGCTAATTTTAGTCTTGAATTTTAGTCTTTAGTCTCCAGGGAAGGTTTAAAAGGTGAGAAAAATTTGAAAAATTGCCCGGAACACTCTAAAAACAGCCCTTTTATATTTCCCATACAAACGATTTTTTGACATTAGACTTGACAACTAACTAATATGTCAATCATTCTGTTCGATTGAAACAGTAGAAATTTAATAAACACCAATACCGGGTTATTGAAGACGACATAGAGTTTGCCCGGTCTGCTACACCTATATTACTAATGACGAAATTAACGCGGACGAAGTCGCGGGTAAAAACTAGTACTCAATATACAAAAACAATATGAATTAAGTATGATGCATAGTCAAATTCATACTATTTAATAAGACTGTAACTTAAAAAGTTTTTTGCGCCTAGTAATTACCGATTTAGCACTGATCAAATGCTGTTAAAGTTAAAAGGGAAATAGACATTTTTGATTAATTAAATTTCTTCAACTTCCTTCAACTTTCTACTTCCTAAATATAAATAACAGGGCGATGTACAGTTTTGATGGCACCCGCGGACAAATAGCAAATCAATCAACGCGTCTTCCGAATTGTTTGGCTCGATACCGAGTGATAGTTTACTGTATACATTTTATCTGAACTGAATATTGAGAATGAAGTCAATTTAATATTGTATGTACAAACAAGCGTATTTTTGAAAACCAAACAATACTTTGGTATATTGTTTAAAAGCTAGATTGTTTATTAAATCTTGTACCTTGTAATTCTTTTAAGACCAAGCTATTCTTATAAGTCATACTAAGCGTCAGGTTTAGTTGAGTTAAAGCAGATTAAACTATTTAAAGGTAATATATATATATATATATATATATATATATATATATATATATATATATATATATATATATATATGGAGGGAGGTTATTTTTTCGTACGCGAGGTTGCGCGTGCGAGTGTCGGCGTATTGATGACTGACAAGTTTTCCACAGCAAAAGTATCAGGTTAAGGGGTTAATTGAAATCTGACTTCCGAGAGTATTCATTGAAATAAGAATAATATTGTCAGATTTACTACTCGTTTTTAATTATTTTTACTACATACTCCCGTCAATTCGATAAGTGAAAAGTAATATTAGTTTTATTCCTTTGAACATAAAATTTCTATGAGGTTGGTCGCCAAGAACACAATGAACTATTGTTCCAATTTTAAGACGACACAAAATATTACAATGTCTATTCACTATGTTTAGTAAAGAATAAAATAATAAAATATAGTGATCATTAAGTAGTTTTTACATATTTTTGAGTAAGACATGCTGAATCAAATACTTAACTATTACAAAGATGCTCAGTTATTTAGGGTGGACTTGAAGAAGGCTTTTATTATTTTAAGAATGTTTAACAGTAATTAGAGGCCATTTATTTACTTTCATATTTTATTTTGTTATAGTCCTGATATATCTTACACGTTCATTAGGAAGAATCTGAACACAATAAATCAATGAAATGTGGGTTTATTGTCTTTAGTTATAATCGTATCTAAGCTATGCCCCAGAGATAAATAAAAAAATATAAATATACTTTTTGCTTGCAACGGCAAAAAACATTCATACCAAGGTTTCCCGAAAAAAAAATATCGCTTTTTATGTTAAGAAGACTAGTCAATTTATTAAAGAGGATACTAACTAGAAGTTGAGACAGAGTTGTTTGCCAAAAGTCTCGTAACTATCTGTGATTTTGACGAGCGTCTTATTAGTTTATGTTAGAAGTTTTTCTGTGTATTTTATAGCAATCTGAAATAACACTGATATAACGAGATTATTTTATGGGATATTAGACACAAGATAAACAAGAAAACATTTTGATTCCTGTACAAGTAAAAAGCAACGAAAACGGGAAGTTAGTTGAGAGAAATTAAAAGTAATTATAATTTTCTATGATTTTCATATTTAATGTTGCAATCTATTGAGATAATCTATGATAAAAGAAAGTTATTCAGTTTTATATACTCTAGAGACACGACCTTGAAGTTTTAAGGGTAACAATATTTTTATTTTAATGAAAAATATAATATGTAACAAGCTATTTCTCACAGCATTAATATAATTAAAACAGTGTATATATTTATATTATATGAAGGAACACTTCATTACGTTCATGATGAACATTAACACTCTGTGCCTTTGTTATTTACGCGCGTAAGGTCGCCATGGCGTCCTGCCAGATTCGAAGTTTCCAAATATATTTTCTGTAAGCATTAATTACTGTGTAATTTGAAATATTTATTAGGTTATGCAAATCCTGTGGATTAGTAAAATTGCTTTTTCTCCTAAAAGCGATCACAAAGATGAAAAAATATTGTATTATTTAGGACTAGCTTTCCGCCCTCAGCTTCGCCCGCGTGTAGTTCGGTTATATCGCGTTTCCAAGAGAACCTTTCAGAAGTCTGGAATAAAAACTATACCATGTTCTTTCTCAAGGTCAACTCCATCTCTGTGCCAAATTTCATTAAAATCAGTTCAGTGGTTTAGGCGTGAAAACGTAACAGACAGACAGACAGAGTTACTTTAATCCGTTGATAATCCGTCGCTGTTCTTTTACGCAACTAAACCATTATCGTTAATAAAATAATAATTATAATATAAAACTAGTAATTAAAGAAGTTCAAGGTTTTATTTAAATTATAACTGATCTTTAACGAATTGTGGCAGATCATAGACAATAGAAGAAAGAGTGACCGTATGTCTCGTATTTCTGATTCTCGTGTAAAAACAAAAGCTGTATAATATTAATCTTGGGAACGGGATTTTGGCAGTTCACCAAAGGCCAAGTGAAAACATCTGCGTATTACGAAATTCTAAGAGTAAACATTTTTAATGCTTATTCCTCAAAAAATGTACATTAAATACATACGTAAAACAATAATTGTTCTAATTTGTTATAATGGAAATTGGAATAAATACCGAATCTAAAATTCAATATTCATATATACTATAATTCGGGCAGTTTAGTTTTTCTTTAAAATATAATATAAGATTCAACCTTGATATTCAATGACACTGTCATAAAGACGTAAACATTTATTTATTTTAAAATTTACATTCTTCATGAAGATAGTTACGAATGGGGGTTTGTAACTAGTATGTATGGGAATACTCCAGTATTGGTAATGCTTCTTGACATTATAGGTACATATTATATTAAAACCATAAATACATTGTGACTGTTACTCACACCTTCAATATAATATGTAATATGCTTTGTGTTAAAGTGAAACATTAATTTTGAAACATAGATTTAGACATTGTTTTCAAGGAAAAAACAATATAGACTTAATATATTTTCATTTTCACCTACCTATATAGAATAATTATTATTGTTCTTTGAAGATCTATAAATATTAACAAGGTAATTTTGCATAGCGCAGAGAAAACACGATATCGTATCGTGTTCCCTTTTCATCTATTTGCGTCGTGATTCATTTCGTATAAGTTCTGACTCACCTCTCTATTAATATGCTTATGTTGAAAACCGTAAATAAATTAAGCATTATACTGATTTAATTACTTTTATTCTGGTTTTTATTCAATATTTTTAATGGCTACATTATATATACATTCTATAAATCTACGTCATCTTTTATAATGTCAGAATTTTTCGATGGTGAAACACCAAAACTTCAGTATTGAACAACTATTTATGCACCTAATTTTTCTTATCGTAGTTTTTCTTATATAAATAATGGATATCTTAGAGTAAGTTGATCACATTGTTATATCTCAATATTAATTTTAACTAAGCGTTGTTTACAAAACACTTTCTGAGTTCTATTTTAGTGAAGATAACATACTTTCTTGCGCAGCAAACGAAAGACGCATAACAGTTGTTTCCATTTGGAAATACTCATTTAAAATTTTATCGTTAGAGACATGACTATTATAAGAAAGGAAGTTTATAAAATATAATGCTATTGTCATAATAATATGTGTATATAGTTTTCTACGATATTCTTTTTACTTAAATTCATGAATTTTTTCATAATAGCTAACAAGACTGTGAAGTGTCTAAAAAAAATTCTCCGCATGCTTATCGCAAAACCATTATTAGTCCAGTCATTTAAGCTTAAATTAGGTAAGAATCTCGGAATGCGAGATACCCAGCTGTAAGTCTGTAAATAGTTGTATATTGACACCCTAAAAGTTGTCTCAAAACCTACATATGGTAGGGTGTAAGCAACTATTAAATTTCAAGTTCAAAGGTCACAAAAATCGGTTTCTTGCGCTTTTTTTGGAAATATCTCATTTCCTATGGGTTTTTTGCTATTTGTATTTATTATCAATATTGTAGAATACTAAATTCTCTACAAATTTCGTTTCAAAATTTTTTTTATACGGTGTACCGTTTTCGAGATAGAGGGCGGAGAGCGCGCGGTCACCGCATCACTTCAGGTCAACCGGTGCCTCCGGTCGAAAACGCGCCATATATAGTTGATGAACTATCAATAAATCAATGATTATAAATATTTGTCAATTTTTATTAACTATTATATTATATTTTATCATTTTTTTCCTAACTTATTCACTTTTTATTCAGTATTAATTTATTTAACAACACTTACCTGTCCATGTAATTGCAGAATTCTCTAATAATAAATAATAATTGCTGCTGCAGCTTCTACAATTCTTAGCCTTTCTGCTTCAGGATCTATTTTTTTACTTTCGTACCAAGCTTTTAATAGAATATTAGCTAGTGCATCACGGAAAGAAATGGTCGTGAAAGCTCCAACTTTCTTCGTAATTACGATATCGGTTAAGTACTTCTGTTGTAGTCTTGTAATGATAGTTTTATCATCTGGCACATACCCTGTCAAGACATCTTTAAGCTCTTTTAGTGTGAATTGAGACTCATTATTATTTTCGATGTAATTGAAAATCTCTAACATAGCTTCTGTAACTTGATTATCTTGACGAGGTTTCTCAAGAGGCGATGATGATGGTGATTTATTTGAAAAGTTTGTAAAACAAGCAGCATGGTACTTCGCTTCAGCAGCGATCAAATCAAACTGTAAAATTATACGACTTTTCACCAATTCTCCAAAATCATCCCCACGTTCTTCTGCTTTTTTGAAAATTGACAAATATTTATAATCATTGATTTATTGATAGTTCATCAACTATATATGGCGCGTTTTCGACCGGAGGCACCGGTTGACCTGAAGTGATGCGGTGACCGCGCGCTCTCCGCCCTCTATCTCGAAAACGGTACACCGTATAAAAAAAATTTTGAAACGAAATTTGTAGAGAATTTAGTATTCTACAATATTGATAATAAATACAAATAGCAAAAAACCCATAGGAAATGAGATATTTCCAAAAAAAGCGCAAGAAACCGATTTTTGTGACCTTTGAACTTGAAATTTAATAGTTGCTTACACCCTACCATATGTAGGTTTTGAGACAACTTTTAGGGTGTCAATATACAACTATTTACAGACTTACAGCTGGGTATCTCGCATTCCGAGGTGAACTTACTATAATGACTGGACTATATACTTTCCATCAAAATGCGATGCCTTATTCTGCTTTATAAACTTATATTAATAATAAATTCACACTGCAAATTGTGAAATCAACATTATTTACTGCTAAGTTATAGTATTTTGCTTTGTATTAATAAAAAAAAAGAGAATTTGTTTTCCACTGCAATCATAAAATCTAATCTAAATCAAGCTTATGATTATTTATTTTCGACGTTTGCTTCAGGTGAATCACATGAGAGAGCTGTATATACTTTGCTTCGTTTTCGTATTATTAATTTACAAAAAAATGTTCTAACCTAAGAATTTTACATTTATTATTAATCGTGCCTTACCGATTTGAAATTCACTAAATACTTTTGTTAAATCGAAGTATTTTGTGTCAAATCTAAGGTGCATGTCCGTATTTTCCTTCTGTATATCATAATATAATGTATTTATTGTTAGGCGGAGTTGATCTACCGTCCCACTACTCGCACAATCACCCGACTCGCCACGTACCCTGAACCACCTCACCACGTGTTGCGTGTCCGTGTAAGACCCTCCGTGGTATTAAGAGAATTGGACCGCATCGCTTACCGCCGTCGTCCAGCCACCGCTGTGTCCGCATTTGATGACTACTTCAAATCCGAGTCTACAAGGGTAAGGAACGAAACACATATAAATTACTTGAGAAAATCCTTTAAAACTCTTAAACTCTAGTAACCTGATGGCTACTAGCGTTTTTAATGTAAACGGTTGAGATAAAAAGGCTAAAGATAATACAATGAAGTACTTAATCGTCTATTGCAATTCACTGCTGAAAGTAGACCTTACATAAAATGAACTAATTGTGCCTGTTTTCGATTGTAATATATTTTCCATGTTGATAATGAGCCAACTATGCCTTTTGGAGACTGTAATATATTTCGCATGTTGATGTAATAATCTTAATGCATATTTTGAACACATTTTCAGGCTTTCGAGGATGAAACTCGCAGGATCCGCGCCGACACCGCGTCTCTGTTGCAGCGCGCCCGCTCGGTGGTACCACGAGCAAAAACTGTAGCACCCCTCGACACCATCTTCTCGTGAGTTAAAACAAATTTGCCAGATACAGTCAGCATCAAACTGTTACTCATATTTATTTTTAAACTTAAAATATTATGAAAAATAATATTCAGCCTTATTAATATCATGAATAAGAGTTAAATTTCAGTAGGTACATGTAAATAATTTGTGTATATTTTGTAAAGCAAAGTGTTGTTCGGTTGATGATTGGTTTCACGTAGGAAATAACTTTTCAGCGATAACATTGTCAGTATTGAACATTCTTTTATTATTTCTTTTGCGATAAACGCCTTATAAAGTATTTTATTATTAACAACATTCACTATATTGAATAATAGTATCGTGTTATGGTGATATTAGTTGAAATATTTTAGCGTCTGTTACACAAGAATCTTCCCATTGATGAGTCTAGCAGATGCGTACCAACCAATTTGGCAATATATTTATGTAATTGTAAACAATGCAAATCATTCGTCAGAGAAGGATTCCAATGTTCCAGAGTGGGTGTAGTTCGTACCGGCCAACTGTTTCCACGCGTATGACGTTTCGTTTAATTATAGCCGGTGGAAATGTTTAATTATTATAGCCGGTGAAAATAACATTTGACGATTGCACACCGCCTTATGTTTTATTGATTGATTTGCTTATACGTTTATTCCTATCTATTCATAAGCCAAACGTATGTCTGATTCATCGAAATGTATTTGAGACGTAATTGGCTGTGTAAGTTAAGATGTTTGGAGTATAATGAGCATGTAATGTTGGCTCTGAAAGATTTATTTAGCTTTATTTTTAGGATGACGGTAACTACATGTTAAAATCAAGATTTAGATTTAGAATTTAACATTGCAAAACTAACGAAGAATATAATAGCTTTTATCTGAGAAGTAAAAAATAAATTGAGTTTAGTTTGAAGATAGTGATTCTTGAGTTAAGTTATTAATATTATCAGATATTCGTACGGAGAGCCCATCCCATATCGGTTCAGCAACGATGCGTATGTCGCTAAGCTGCTGCTGCCGTTACGCAGCGTGATGGACAACGTCCACAACATATCCTTCTACCACGAACCAGCTAAGAAGTTCACAGGTACCAAGAACCCTTATAAAAACTAAACTTTACTTCAATCAATACTATTAATTAATCGAATTTTATTGAATGTTGACGAGTACGTAATTTATACCTATTGAAACCAAAGGAACCTGTCTTAATGATACTTGTGGTGCTGATTTGTACTGTGTCTAACATGGACCCGGACCCTAGACCCTAGTCCTACCTAAACGAGGTGTTCCCCCAGGACGCGGAAACCTCGCCTGCGTCCATTATTCCGGCAATAAGGCCTTCTCCAACCGCCGACCTCTTTACAAGGAACTTAGCATCAGGGACGATGTGAACCTTCTATCGTTTTACGCGAAGAACAGACTAGCGGCAGCCGGTCTGGCCGTCGAAAAGGCCGCAGGTATTATAAGTTAGATGCATCGCCAGCGCTCGCTTACATTCTTAAACGATTATAAATAATACACACTGGGCAACCTCGTAGCCCATCATACATTATATACCTCGTGTAGAATGTACAGTGTAATATTATACATGACGTATCGACCATACACATTTTCGATATACGTTGTCATTTACCTAAATGATAGAGCTCATTAAATAGGTGTAGGTCACACTTTTCACTCATTAAGTTTGTCCATTTATATCTTGTCTGTACATATTAATTCTTCTGCATTCTAATAGCAACATAATGAACATCGAATTTATTCCCACCACTATCTACTTTATCCACTCAGGTAACTTTAAAATGTAAATCTACAATAGATCAATTATTTTGGGTTACGAGGCCTCACATCTAAATTACTATCTAAATTTCGCTTAACAGCTTCGATTTGGTGTTGGAATAAAGGAGTACAATTAAAAGAAAAACGAATAAAAAAAGTGTCTAACTCTGGGTGTGGTGTCTCTTGCAGCGAAAGAAGCGTCGGAAGAGGCGACGGCGGCGCAGTGCGCGTAGCTCCCTGGCCCCCCCGTCCCGCCCCCCGCGTCCCGCACCCGACCCCGCACTCGCCCCCGCTCTCGCCCACTACAGCGCGGCGCGGACGCACGCTGCCTCACAGACTGCGCCCGCGCCGCGCTCGCGCTTCGATCTCGGTACACAACGAACCCGAGCGACGAATATATATAATTTTTGAAACATATTTTTATAAAGAAATATTATTTTTCTAACAATTTACCTATAGAAGACGATAACTTTTTGATGGTAGTCGTGATACCGCGGCGATATGGTGATTGAGACGACTCGTTTCCACTAAACAGAACTGATTTTTTTTTTGCTTAACAATAAATATTGTTGTCAGTATTCTAGTAGTTTTGTTCAGCCTGCATGATGAAAACCTTAACGTTCATGTGTAGAATACGCTAGCTTGTAATTAACGCTTAGCATTTTGTATCCACTAATACGAAACTTATCTAAAAAAATCTCTTTTATTAAATTTTATACAATGATTGCACTGAAATTATTTAATTATTCTGGTTAAAGCTGCAAGGTAATAAAATTATAGCATAACAAGGTTAAAAAAACAAACTTTAGTAATTTTGAAAAGTAGTTTTTTGAATCAAGCGACCATTTCATGCAATACATGGTGATGCCCACTCTTTCGATCCGAACACGCTTCCATGTCATAGCATGAGCATTTCAAAATCTTGTACAAAAACATTTAAGCTATTTCCACGCTCGGCTTATCCATCGGGCTTTGAAGTCGAGAACATTCATAAAAGCGCTATCTTTGCCATTCTCATCGAGGACCCTTGATCGAATAAGCTTCTGCACTTGCTTAAGCTCATTTCATCAATGGTACCACGCCTTCATTTACTGCGATGCAGTGAAACTCCTTCCCTGGAGAGCGAGCCGCAAGTTCCAGGCGCCACAGTTAATGGAAGACCCTGAGGTGGAACTGAAAGCAGCGAAGGCCGACCGTGAAGCGAGATTCCGTGCCAATACTGCGGAACCTGTTCTAACACCGTCCGTGGATCTTGCTGAAATTAAACGAAAAAGACAAGAAGAAGCTAGAGCCGCTGAGGAAAAGTAAATCCATATAATCATTCATATTTTTCTTAACCTTTAGAATATAATGCAATTAAGTTATCTATGCAATTTACCTATTATATGTCCAATGTGGCCAATTAATAAACATATTTATTATTTATAGGGCTTTGAAAGAAGAAGCAAAACGTGAAGCTGAACGAAAAGCTCAGGTACCCTTTTATGGTTCCTTAATATTAATGAGAGGAGTACCTTAGACTGTTCTCACGATAATAAGGGTTTATATTTACTGTTAACTCTAGGCTGAACGTGATTCAGCAGAACGAAAAAGAGCAGAAGAAGAAGCACGTAAAGCTGAGGAAGCTAAACGCAAGGCAGAAGAGGAGGCGCGGCTAGCGGAAGAAGCAAGACAAGCTCAACTAGAAGCAGAAAGAAAGGCTGCAGAAGAAGCTAAAAAAGCTGAAGAAGAAGCCGCTAGACAGGCAGAAGAAGCTAGACTGGCAGAAGAAGCTCGCAAAGCTGAAGAAGCTAGGCTTGCAGAAGAGGCAAGATTAGCAGAGGAGGCAAGACTTGCTGAAGAAGCTCGATTAGCGGAGGAAGCAAGACTTGCTGAGGAGGCTCGTCTGGCTGAAGAAGCACGTTTGGCCGAAGAAGCAAGGCTTGCTGAAGAGGCAAGATTAGCAGAAGAAGCAAAACTGGCCGAGGAAGAGAGGTTGGCGGAACAGAGAAGGCAAGAAGAACTTGCTAAGCTAGAAGAGCTTGAACGTCAAGCCCAAGAAGAACGCGAAGAAGAACTTGCCAGACAGGTAACATTTATAAAAAATATTATTAATACCAATATTATTTTAATCACAGAATTCTATTAATATATTTGTCCACAGGCTGCTGAATTAGCGGAAATCGCTAGACAAGAGTCCGAGTTGGCCGCAGCACGTCTGGAGGAACTGACACACAGTGCGTCTGCTGGAGAAAGTGTTGCTGAAGTTGAGTCAAGGTACGTATAAGATATGAATCGAATACCTGTTATATAAATTAAATATAAATTTAAAATTGTAATAATACCTTGTAATAAAATTTCAGTGAAGCGCCAGTGGTAGAAAGTGAACCTATTGTAGAAGAACCAGCAAGTCCAGAAGTCGTTCCAGAAGAAATACAATCCCAAGATGTTGTCGAAGTCAGTGAAGATGAAAAGGCGGAGCCAGATGTTACGGATGAAGAGTGAATAAAAACTCATTCTGCCATTTTTTTAGAAAATAACACTTTTTTAATAGCAGCCACGATTTCTACTATAATTAAGGAACTGGAAAGTATTCTAGAGATGCATTTTGTAATATTTAAAGATACTCTATTTGTTCTTCATGTTGCAGTTGTCAGACACATGAATGATATCATAGAAGTAAATTTTCATACAAACCTTACACCCTCTTGTCTGTAACAACGTTACAATATAAAGAGAGTTATATGTTAGGTACATTTATTCTCCTGAATAAGTTGTCACTATTTTGTTAATAATGTTAACACTGTTGATTTTGTTATTTAATTTGTTTCTTAATGATATTTTTTTGTTACAATTTAACAATAAAAGACATTAACTAAATTGTTCTATATTTATTTATCTATTTAATTAATCGATCCTATAAGTTGAGTACACAAGGGTCATGTTCGAAGAAACTTAAAATGAATTATGAACACTCCATAAATGTGACGATTTTTATAATGCAAATTGTAGATTTAAAATGACAATGGATACCCTGTTCCTATTTTGTTTCACAATAACTTACTCTAATTATAAAATGGCCAAAATTGTTATAAACATAATTTTAAATATTTCTATACACTCTTTCACACTTTCTTCCTCCTTTTTCTTAATATCTTCTGTATTTAGATTGTTACCAAGTTTTTTTTAATCCTAAACAATCTATTCTTACATTGACAAAGTTTCTCTATTGTATTGAGGAAAATAGGTATTTTTTTTAAACACGCCAAGGTTGCGACTGGTGACCTTTTCATATTTATGGCAGAGGTCTTTGATTACACTAATAGTTAAAAGTAGGAAAATAAAACATTGTTCTCTATCTACTAAGTATTTGCGAGATGTCTAAGAAAGTTCTGAGGAACCTATTCTGAACAAACTGAAAGTTCTGTCACCAAAATATATATATTTTTTAACATCTCTATGGATTTGTATACAAGTCCGTTTTATTTGATACAATCTTATTGGAGTCTTTTCTGGAATCTGGACTCCTAGTAGGTTTCCTGAACCACGCCTTCAACGGGCTTTTTGAAACAACGAGTACAAATAACTATATTTTTGACTACAAACAACAATGTTTGCAACTACGTATTACGTCTGACGAAAAGCAAAAATTATTTAAAATTGCAAGTTCTAACTTATTAAACACCATTTATTTAGGCTTGTAGGTGATTTATTTATTTAATTAGTTTCCTAAATTATGATTTCTCCTCAGCCATATCAAGACAGTCAGGTCAGAAACATGGTTCGTTATTCTGAATATAAAAACTGCTACATCATTTCAATTTCTAAGCTTAGAAGAATAAGTAATGGTCTTTATTTGTTCATAAATAGATATGTTTTATTTATTCTACCTATAACTTTAAGCTGTCCTCATAATAAAATAAATGTAATGTTGCTAGAAACTAGTTTGGGGCGAAAACAATTTTTTATTAATCCACTTCCGCGTCGGTATCAAAAAAAAAATGAAAATAATAGACTCATATGCTGTTAAGCGATTACCGTATCTCATTAACACCTTCTGTCCTTTCTTGAAGAAACTTTTACTGCAGTTATTACAGAAAAACCTCGGCAAGGAGTTTATTTCATAATATAGGTCCTTCTGTCCTGGTCCTTCTGAACTGCACGGTCCTTCACCATTGGCGAGATATGTGATGATATAACGCACCATGTATTTCACATCTTATCATACCTATAGTTTACCGAAATATATACCATTACAATTTATACATTAATACCACTTGAAAACTCATGATGACAACAATCCTCACACCTCGTTTTAAAATGAATCAATAAGTTCAAGGGGGTTTTCTAAGGAGTTATCGAATTACAAAAGAAAAACCGAACATAAAAGGAACAAAGAATCTATAAAATTCTCTTTACTTTTGATAACAGTCAAAGAGTGCACAAACGCACGCTAAGTTTCTTCATCCAGTAAAGACAAAGTATTAAAATAGTATATTTTAGAAGTTTCATCTATATTTTATGGTGTAAGTACATTAGATGTATATCGGGTTGCTTAGTAATTTACAGCGAAATATGAACGGAAAATATCCGACATGCTACAGTGAGCATAAAAATAAAATGATAACCACTATTCATAAGAGCAATAGTGAATTGCCTACCAGTAAACCAGAACCGGCTTATGAAGGGTAAAAGCATTTTATAAAACAAAATACCTCTTTGTAATGACAAGCAGACTAATTATCACAGCAACCAGAATATAGACTAGGATGGCGTCTAAAATGTTTTGAAAATATAGAAAACTAGCTTTCCGCCCGCAGCTTTACCCGCGTGGAGTTCGGTTACATCGCGTTTCCAAGAGAACCTTTCAAAAGTCTGGGATAAAAACTATCCTGTTCTTTCTCAAGGTCAACTCCATCTCTGTACCAAATTTCATTAAAATCAGTTCAGTGGTTTAGGCGTTAAAGCGTAACAGACAGACAGACAGACAGAGTTACTTTCGCATTTATAATATTAGTAGGGATACAAAACTTTTTTTAGCAACTAAAAACCTTGTTAATTCTATAACGTCGGAAGAACGCTCCACTAATGTAAATATAATAGCAACCTTATCAGCAAATGGAATTTTATTTTCTTTAATGTTTAATGTTTATATTTTTCAAAAGTTTAAGAATTCTTTTATTGCAAAAGATATTTCTGAGTGTGTAAGAAGTGTTATTGGAAGTGGGTTAACTGATAAACTGATTTTATGGTTCATTTTTTAAACTATATGAAACTAAACCAATAGTATAATTGTTGAGACCACAGGAAGTGATCCTGTTCTTATCTTTATCATTCAAGAATCAAGACAGATATTTGAGATATAAATGCACTTACATTAGATGAAATTTAAAGCATAATATTGTCAATAAATTGAAGTAAAAAGCAAATGAATTAAGCAATTTTAAAAACTACCTCAGAGTTAAATAGGCAGACACCAAAGTTGTATAATTACTTATCCCCGCTCCCAAAAGGATTACTTTGAACCAAATGCTGAGGTTTTTGTTATTTGTCAATATAGTTGATAAATAAAATTCTGTTATAAGCCGGATGTAATGCCCATGTGTGTCTGGCTGGGGCATCTTACCTCTCAAAACGGATCAATCAATGTCAATGAATGTTTCATGTGAAAGCTTTCTTGGAGGTCCTTGATAATTACATTGGTCTGCCAGCGTAAGAATATCAGCCTACTATCTACTACAGTATAAATGACTCACATATACCAGTGTAATTTTTAAATGTTATTTAATTCATAGGGGTATTTTAAAATCTGTATTTTGGCTTTAGTAACCCCATTGGGTGGTTAAAAAGCCTTTAAAGAGTGTATTAAAATATTTCTGTCTTCGTAACAATGTACAATACTAAGTTATTGTAATTGATAGATTTGAGCTTTTTGAACTCACTATAAACTATGTTTGTGTTATTATTTAAAAGGACCTCACATTGGTTAAATGCACATAATATTCTGACCTATCTCTGCCCTAAAGCAATTGAATAACTACTAACAAGGAACATTTTATAAAACCATTTATATACAACTTAATTTATTTCTTATTTCTATTTACAAATACAAAACCTATGCTATAAATCCATTTTTGAAATATTATCACCAGTGGCAGATATTTCTTTCTGTGTTACTTCCCTTTGGTCTTTCTTCTGTGGGAGTACAACTTCAGATTTCTTTGGATTTGGTAAGGGTTTCTGTTTTATTTCTAGAAACTGTTTATCTATATCAGCAACCTTTTGTTTCATCTGTTTATGAGAAAATAGAAAATTAATAATTGTTATATGATATAAATGATTATTGCAAAAGCATTTACATTTTAGACACTTACATTTTTTAAACCTAGATTAACTGCCTTAGCTTTGGTTTTCTTTAAACTTTTAGCTCCTGCTACTTTAAAGACATTTGCTTTAGGTCCTTTCTTCTTATCTTTTCCCATCTTTTATGTAAAGAATAGATGTTTAAACTTGAAACAAATAGTTAACCTCGAAATGCTACGATGTCAATTGTGACTTGTGATAGATTAGTAACATGAAATATTTTGCAAGTTGCGTGTTGGCATTTTTAAGCTCTGGGTGCTCTCACTTAAGTTATTTTAGTATCAGAGTTTATTTATGTCTATTAATTATAATATTTGTTCTAAGCATTATATTAAGAAAGAGTTTAATTTGTTGATCAAATTTACATCGTTAATTGACTGATAGCAGAAGCATTTATGAATATCAAGCATTCAACCATGTTTTTCTTTAAAAACTCATTATAGTTGTCTATAAAGGAATTAATTTTTTGTTTTTAATTACTTCTATTTGTAATAAATTTTGATAGAAAATAAAATTATTTTTACACATAATGTCTAATACATTTTGATACAAGTTTTTGAACGGAATATAAGCTGAGTGTTTTAAAATTTTGGTGCCATTGCCAAAATTTAGTTTACGGGATTGGCCAATTTAGAATTTAGCTGCATTGGATTTCCGTTTTGAATATTTACAATATCAATAACAACATCTTCAATTCTTTGGACATTTTATATCATTGGAATAATTAAAGTACCAATAACTCCTTAAGTAATACAATTACAAAATAATCTGTGATATATTTACAAAAATTATATTTAGGAGGTATACAGAGGCCGCCAAAATTAATTACTACTCCAAATACAACGGAAATATCTCCACAATGGCAAAGGTAAGAAGAATAATACTTATAAACAGGATAATAATTAATTCATACATAATTAACATACCGGCTTTACGACATTTAAAACCAGTTAACTTACAATACGGGCCTCTTGTACCAGTCCTTATTACTAGCTTGTAGAATTTGCCTTATTCGAATTGTTTTGTCAAAAAGTATATTAAGAAATTAAGAAATGGGTGATATTGTTAATGATAAGGTAAGCTAACTAAACCTGTAAATAGTATTGTCAGATTAACTTATTAACTATATAAAACTTTTTAATTTGCACCTCCTTTGAACAAAATTCTTTAGTTCTATTTTCGAAAATTAAAAAAAAACTATATTTTCAGCCAGTGCTGTATTCTTACTGGAGGAGTTCTTGTTCCTGGCGAGTGAGGATTGCATTAAATCTTAAAGAGATCCCATATGATATAAAAGCTGTTAGTCTGATTAAGGGAGGCGGAGAACAGCATTGTAATGAATATAGAGAGGTGAACCCGATGGAACAAGTACCCTCACTTGTTATCGGTAGGTGTGAGACTTGTTTTTAAGTAACTATGTAGTAAACATAACATATTAGAAAGAAAGTTTTATATAAATATTATTGATTCAATTCTAGATGGGCATACATTAATTGAATCTCTAAGCATAATGCATTATTTAGAAGAAACAAGACCACAGCGACCACTTATGCCTCAAGATTGTTTTAAAAGAGCTAAAGTTCGAGAAATTTGTGAGGTAAGTAGTAGTTTGAATTTACTTTACTAAGTCAAATTAGATGTATTATAGATTTTTCCTTCTCTATTTCTTACTAGTTTTTGCCCGCGACTTCGTCCGCGTTAGTTTGGTCAAAAGTAATATATGTAAGTATAGCTGACCAGGCGAATTCTGTTCCGTCTTAGAGGCCATAAATAATCAGGTTTTTCCTGTTTCAATCAAACAGAATGATTGACATATTAGTTTGTTGTTAAATCTAATGTCAAAAAAAAACGTTTGTATGGGAAATAGAAAAGGGCTGTTTTAGGGTTTTCCCGGCAACTATTCCAATTTTTCTCACCTTTTAAACCTTCCCTGGACTTCCAAGAGTATTTCAAGACTAAAATTAGCGAAATCGGTTTAGCCGTTCTCGAGTTTTAGCGAGACTAAGGAACAGCAATCCATTTTTATATACAGGGTGACTGGTGAATTACTATCGATATTTGAGGACGTGATATTTGACGATCATATATGACAAAATAAAAATTAATATAACATAAATATTAATAAACTTCTAAGTAAAGTTAACCAAAAGTTATGTAATTAATTACGCATCGTGTGAACACCCTACAGATTAGGTATACACTGACACTCACACATACGCGTGTCGTGACGTGGTGTTGTATCAGCACGCGGCCGCACGCGTCCACACTTGAACACTTGGAACGTGTCAACACTTTACTTATTTATACGGAAATTTTGTCAAAAATTAAGTGCCTATTTTTTTTACATAATTCGAATGAGAATCATGTACCGAGTATTCTCCTTAAATATTGATAGTAATTCACCAGTCACCCTGTATATAGAAGATAATAAATGTGTATTACATTATAAGAATATATGTTTGTTTATTTTTATTAAGATTTTTGTCCTTTTTTTCAGATTATAGCATCATCAATACAACCTCTGCAGAATTTAATAGTCCTCATATATGTGGGTGAAGATAAAAAGAAGGAATGGGCCCAGCATTGGATCATGCGAGGGTTTAGAGCCATTGAGAAGTTACTCTCGACTTGTGCGGGGAAATACTGTGTTGGTGATGAGATCACACTCGCCGACTGCTGTCTTGTGCCTCAAGTGTTTAATGCACGAAGGTATATATATGAAAATTATATATATTACAGTTTTGTTCCTATATAAGTTATTTAGAAACAAGCTGATAGAAGAATTAAAAGTGCATGGTACAAATAGTAGATTATATGGTTACCAAATGACAGTGCTATTTACGGTGTATCACAAAATTTTTCTGAATATAACTTTATGTCCACACCCATTTAATTCCAAATAAATCAAAGTTAATACTTACTTACTTTAATGTCTTAAAAACATTATTGGAAATTTTTATGAAGATCTTTTTAACAATTTTGTGTCAAAGATCTACAGACATACCTACAACTATTAGTTCTCAAAAACTTTTGCATTTGTAACATTTGTAGGGATCTCTAGAATAATTTGTTCAATAAAAAGATTTTATTCAAGTATTTGTTATTTCATAAATATGAAAATATGAATTCAAACATCATAAATTCAATATATATTAAATAATCAAAGAGTTTATTAGATTTAATAACTATATTTTTCATACCTAACACTTTCTTCAGTGTTTTTATTAATGAACAGGTTTTGAGGAGTATGGTAATGTCATAACATAATGGATAGTACATAAATATATAATGTGTATCAATTATAATAATGCAAGTATATTTCTACTCATTTTTCTAGATTTCATGTGGATCTCCGTCCGTTCCCAATAATACTTCGTATAGATCGTGAGTTGGAGAATCACCCGGCATTCCGAGCAGCTCATCCATCATCACAACCTGACTGCCCGCCAGAAGTCGCCAAGTGAATGACCAGAACTAGCTACGGCTAAACATTCCAACAGATTATATACTACATTTTTTTTTTAATTTTTTTTTTAGCAAAAACTATGCTATTCAGCTTTTATTATTATAACTCTATATCCATATTCACTAAGATTGATTTATGTATTATGTTATAATTATGTCTTTATTGTTTGTTTAATATTGTGTGCAGTACATATCTAGTCATTATATACACATAATGGGGTTTTTACAAGGTTTTGGTATTGTGTCTGTAGTTATTTAAGCATAACTTAAGTGTGAACATTATAACTGTTTTAATATAATGCAAATAATGTTGTATTGAGTAATATATAACTTATCAAATGCTTTTTATATCAAGAAACATTCCGCATTTATAGTTTTTGACGTAAGTATTTTTAAAATGGTATATGATACTCTATGATATTGCAGACGTGCCATAGACAAAGCCTTAGTAATTAGTATACCATTGTTTACAATTTTTTTTTGTTAATTTTGTTTCTAAATACAAATAGATTTTGAAATTTGACATTGTTGTATTTTTTATCCCCATACACTTCATGAATGTCTTTAATATTCATAAGAATTTTATAACTTCTAACGTAAGTGTACAAAAAAACGAATATTCAACATAACTATTTTTATTCGATTAGTTATCCGATCATACTTTATTATAGAATAAATTAAAAATCACTATATTTATAAAATTTAAGTTAAATTTATAAAAAATTAAAATAATTTATAATAAAAGTTGATATTGAAAAATATTCTGAAAGGAACAATTTTTGCGTATGGCAACATTAACATGGCATCTGGGATCTGTCAAATGTATCGAACGCGGCTTTCGTCGGTCGTCCGTAGCCGACTAGCCGATAGTAGCACAGTATGAAAGTGCTTTAAATATTGTTGTATTTATGCTTGGCCGCTGCCTTTTTCTCGCTGTACTCTAATAACAATGATTACTGTGTTATGTTTATTGATTAAATAACGATGTAAATTGATACCATCGCTTAGTGCTGTTTTGTGAAAGTTATTCCCTATTGTGTTGGTGCTGATTTAAAATGACCGAGAAAAATAAATCCGAAAAGATGACTAATACATCGAAACCAGTTCCCATGAAGCTTTTTGCTGCCTGGGAAGTGGACAGGACTCCTTCCAACTGTATCCCAAGGTAGGTTTTATCTATAATAATGTTTATTGAGTTGATATACGGTACGTTTAAGTGATAGTTCATTTAAGATTATGCTGTGGGTGGCTTGTGTATGCTGATTGATGCTAACTGAATATTTAATATTGAAGATTTTTGAGCGTACTACGGAATTAATGGCAGTTTTATTTAGTGTTTTTATCAACTTATTACTATCGCGGCTGTAGCCGGTTTCTTTTCGTTAAATCGTCTCATTAATTAGTGACTTAACTTATTTCTTATATCAACTTATGTATTAGATGAGTTCTAGGAATTAAATACAATTTGAATTCCTCTTATTAAATAATAATTATAACTTTATTCAAATCGGAATTTTTATCTATATGGGAACAATAAGAAATGTTGCAAAGATTACTATTTTGTATTTTTAAGTCAATTAAAAAAAGTATTTTATATATAAGAACCAAACATTTTTCCATTATCAAAAATGAATGATGTGCCTGTCATTAAAACAAAAATTTATAATATGTCTGTTTGTTTGTAATAAGATTATTCTTATGTATATTACAAAATAAAATCTTTCTATTGACATGCTGTATTTTTAAAATAACAATAAAAAAGCAACAAAATGCAATTATTAATCCAATATCATAAAATTAATCTGCTTAACATAAAATCTGTAATGGAAAAAACAGTGTCATATAAATTAAACAGATAAAAATAAGATTCTAACTAAAAAATTCTTTTATACATTTAATTCATGATTATTCATGGTGGTTCATAGAGATGTATTAAATTTCATGAATATATATCAATTAATTAGTACAAGTATATATACATATATATTTATGTATATATATACAGTATATAAGTATGTTATCATACAAGGAGTTCCATGTTTCCTTTACATATATAGTGATCCTTTGTTTGACATTGTTTTTGTTGTCTCCCCATAATGGGGATGCCCTAATTCATACATGTCTAATTAATTAACAAACACTATTAGCTCCTTTGTTATTCCTTTGTTGCTTTGTTTGTGATGTTTATAACAGTGATTTACATATCACATTGTTTATTGACACAACTCAATAACATGTTAATATAATGCTTTGTTATTATGTTTCATATATTATATTATTATTTTTTTGTGTATTATCTATATATCTATGTTACCTATTAAAAAAGTTCTGATTAGAACTAATCCTGATCTATTTATATTTAGAAACCAATAATAAGAATGTTCTATATATCTATGTTTCTTATTTTTACTAAAATGGTGATAATTTTTATAAATTACCATAAATTCCATATCATGTTTCTTATAGAAAATGCATTGTTTGAAAATTGGAAAATTCAAAACTTGTTTATAGATATATAATATTTTTATTATATTTTTATATATGTGAGAAATTTTGTTAAACATAATGAATAAATAAGTAATAAAATTGATGAAGTAAATAATGGTTATCAAAATCGAATTATTTAATATTTATTATATTTTTATCAGAATGAATATATGTACATTGTACATACATGTGTTGTGGTAGAAGCAAAACATTCCCAAAGCGGTTTGTTGGTAATGAACTGTGACAGAGCCATTAAAATAACCACCGCTGAAAGGAGAACATTGCTCATGACTCACAAACACCGCTTATGGTGAATAGATGAAATATGTTAACATCTGTATAAAAATTGTATGTATGTAATAATAACGGTACTGTATGTAATATTGTATGTATGTAATATATAACGGTGTATCACTCTGGACTTGAATTTTTATATATTAGATTATCTAACAACTAAATACTGTTTCTTGTATTTGGCACAGTATAGTTAATGGGGAATCGTGCCAAAATATCTGATTTACTTGGTAACAGCATTAAATTTGTTGATCGATGTGTATTTTTACATCCAAGCTTTATCATTAACACTAAGTGGATTGAAGAATGTGGTTCTGTTCAGATAACTGATCGTAATACGATTCTTTTAATAAGTAAAAAAAAATCAAGGCAGCCCTAGTAGATTTTTTTCAAATGTGGTTAGGTACAGAGAGGAGCTTGGACCATGGAGGTGAGCGTTTAACGCGAGTTATACAGGGCCCCTTAAACCTACACCTGGGTTGCAAGTCCCAGGCACTGTTGAGGCTCCTCTCCCTACAACGATGGACCCGGCACCCGCACGGTGAATTCATTGAATGCTAGAAGTTTTCGTGTCTATTATGTTTGGCAATTCATTTTATTCTGTACCATAGGCGATCTAGACCAATGCGTAATATTTTGTAGGTATCTTAGGGCCAGATCCTTTGTCCGTTGTCATGAAGGTCGTCTTTATGATGACACACTCCTGACTCAGCGGTGCATCGATCCACATAACATTATATACAAACTTTTAATTATATACACTTTGATTAACTACTATACTACGTCCTATATTTGCACTGTATATTGGGTGCTGTTTATGAAGCATGGAGGATTTATTTTTAATTCCTTATTTTTTAATATAAAGATATATAAAGGACGCTTTGAAGTCGATAGCATTATTGCAGTGGATTTTAAGTAATCCAATATTTCTAATATGATCTGTTACACATATATATAAGTATGAATATTAAAATTTTAAAATTATTTTTATCAATCTTCTTTAATGCGTGATTGAAGTTTTAAGTGTACGCACAACCACTATTGTTCTTGACGCGCAGTTTATTATTATATTCTGCTTGCTTACTTTGAATTTGTCTACATGTGATGAAGACTACGTGGTTTGGTCTTCAGAATACATATGTATATTTATATAACACATTATATGATCGTATCATTGTATGTATAATTAGTCGAAATACAAGGTACTCTAGTGTAAAAAAATCCGGGCTATACGTCCCATAATGCGATAGTCCAATACTGTTCTGCAAAATGTTTTTCGGATTACCACGGGACCACTGTATTTACATTTTTATTAATATATGCATAGTAAAATATAAATGGAATTAAACATTTTAGTAAGAAATGAAATCCAAAAAACAACTGATCGTTTACAAATGTATTTTAATACAGTATAAAACTTTAGGTGAGTTTATAAAACGAGTATTTTTATCACAAAAACATAAAATATCCATAAAATTTAAAACTTATCTATTGCGTAATAATGTATTTCAAGTGTTTACAGTTAATTAAACAAAAAAGAAACGTGCAAATTTGTAAATTTTTGTTTTTTTTGTCCAGTCTAATTTTTTTAAAAGAATCTCATGAGAATTACATTCTATTTGATTTCGTAAGAGCTATAAAACAAATAGTACACATGTTTGATTTTACCCCACCTAAAATATAATATCAAAATTCCATAGAAATTATATATGATATTATATTTTCATGATGATGAAAATATAATATCAAAATTCCATAGAAATATATAAAAATCGAAATTCCTTACCTCATAAGAAATGACTACAGTGTGATGAAACGTTATGTTGCTATCATTCAGAAATATTCAGATTATCATTAAATACGGCTATATTAATAAAATCAATGTATGTACAAGAAAATACGAAGAATATCCCAAATATATTGTTATGAATAATAATAATAATATATATAATTAATTACCTTGAAATATATTAATAATTTTATACGTAGAATAACACAGGATGCGTCTTAGGATTTACAGACCACATCGAAGTCAAGGTTGTACATAACGTTAAAGCAAATAACGCTACACAAAACAAATGTTTTGTATCCTTACTATAAATTTTTCCTTCTCCAACTAAACGATAAACGCGACGTTTCCAGTTTTTCACGAAGAACTCGTCGTTCATGATCGTATTATCGTAGGAATTTCTTAAGTTATTTTGTTTACTGTTTTAAA